TCGCCCATCCCACCTCGGGCGGGAGTTCTCTGCCTCGGGGCTGGGTCCTCACCCATGTCACCAGCGGGACACAGGCCCCCAAGTCTGTGTGAAGAGCCCCCCTTTAATTGCTGCCCGCTGGCCAGGTGCATCCCTGAGGTCCCAGGAGAGCCCAGCTCTCCCCCGCCCCACAGGGCCTCCGTGGTCTCCAGCAGCAGCGCTGGGGTGGGGGTCCTCCCTGTCCACCGGGACCATGCCCTGCTTCTCTGGCCTTCCCACAGCTGTGCTGTGTCCTGGCGCTGGGGGCGGGAGGTGGGGACAGCTTTACAAGGTCAGGCCCACTCCAGGAGAGCATTGGCAGGGGACAGCAGGCTGCACGCGGGGTCCCCCGCAACCCACGGCGTCGGCTCTTGGGCATGTGTCACCTGGCCCAATATTTGCTAAGAGGAGCAGAGCAAGTTGGGAGCAAGGCAGCCAGGCACACAAAGCTGTTTGCTGAAAACAGGTCGTTAATTAGGATGGACGACTGGCACAGCGCTTCCCTGGGCCGGGGCACGGCTGCCTGTCCCCTTAGACGTGGCCCATCTGTCTTCATCAGCCGGCAGTGATGGGGGTGCCCAGCCCCCACGCGCTGGAGCTGGGCATGTCGCTCATTCATTTGCAGCTCTGAATCCTGCCCAGGCAGGTGTTATTTCAAGTCATTCAGAACACCTCGTCTTGGGGGAATGTGTAGGCGCCTCTGATGAAACGCTAGTCTCAGACCGTCACCTGAGCGTAATGAGCAGATGGAGGGCTCGGTCTCGGCTCCGCAGCGGGGGGCCCCCGGACAGGGGGTTTGGCTCTGCAGCGGGGCCCCTGGGCAGGGGGCTTGGCCTGCCGGAGGGTCCTGAGGATTCAACTCCACTTGTCGGCTGAGCGAGGCTTGTTTTGTGTTAACTTCTTTCTCCATTTGGAATTTGTGGAGAAAAATTAATTCAAGAGGAAAAGTCAGCCACAGTGAACTCGCTCGCTGCCAACCGCGTGCCATTTCACTGTCGGCCCTGCAGGCAGCATAGGCTGGGGCTTTGTTCATGCTGTTTCCAGCACTGAAACGCCAAATCTGAAAGACTTGACGCTTGTAAACACGAGGGCAGTGGCTTGCACCTGCCTTCCCAGGGCTTCGTCCGCAGTCACGGGACCTGGGGCGGGTCAGGCGAGAGGCCTCGCCTGGTGGGCATCGGGCAGGGCCTGCTGTGCCAGGAGAGCTGCTGTGTGGAGGAACGGGTGGGGGCGTGGAACCTCAGCTTTGGTTTGCATGCAAGTCCTTCATTTAGCAGCTGTGCAGGAATGGGGAGTGAGTTGCCGCATCAGCTGCTGCTGCCTGGGCAGCAGGAAAGCCGGGAGCCCTCTAGACTGGGGAGGCCCCTGGGCTGGGGAGCCCTCTACGCTGGGGAGGGGAAGAGTGGCTTTCTGGGGTGGGAGGGAGTGGGGTCAACAGGATAGCTCCCAGCAGCCCAGTGGCTGTGGAGGAACAGCAGCCGTGGGCTCGCTTCTTTGGTGCCTGTGGCCACAGGTGTGACCCAAGAGGACCGTGGTGGGGGAGCCTTGGGAGAGCAGGCTGCACAGCGGAGTCAAGCTGAGATGGGTGGTCTGGACACGCAGAGACCCCCACTCAGGTGTGCTGGCCTGAACCTGGCTGTCCCCGTGGGTGGGTCCCCAGCCCCCTGGCTGTCCCCGTGGGTGGGTCCCCAGCCCCCTGGCTGTCCCCATGGGTGGGTCCCCAGCCCCCTGGCTGTCCCCGTGGGTGGGTGCTGCCCGTCCCCTGCTCCTCTTCCATGCACTGTGGTCTTTCCATTTGGTCTCCACTCACCTTAGTCTATTCCATAGGCCACTGTGTTTTGTTTGCTTATTCTATAGTATTTTTGTTTGAAAGGCCAAGACAGCTGGAACCGGGGCACACCAAAACCAGGAGGGAGGGACTTAGTCCAGTCTGCCACAGGGGGGACAGAGACCCCCCAGGATGTGTATGACAGGAAGCTGAGTAGAGTCGGGACTCTAAGTCGAGCACTCCTGGGTGGGCCGTGTGTGCCTGAGCAACGTGCTAACCCCCCCGATGCCACAGGGTGGGCCGTGTGTGCCCGAGCAGCATGCTAACCCTCCCGATGCCACGCTCCTCCTGGGCACCATCATCACACTCCCTCCCATAGACTCAGCTCTTAACCCACAGGGATGGGGTCACTTTATCCCCCATCCCCTCCCGAAGGCCTCCTCCCTCCAGGGCTCAGGGCACTTGCACTGGAGACCTTTGCCTGCCTACATGAGAATGGCTTGTCCCTGCATGTGGAATGAGCCCTGGGTACCACTAACTGCAAAGCTGAGGTCTGAGGCGTGGCCAGACGGTCGCCCAGGCAGGTGGCTGCTGCTGCTGGACCACCAGGGCCCTTCATGGCAGCTGCCTTCTGGCCATAGCTACGCCCTGGCCTCAGAGGGGGCCCTGGAGCCCCAATGCCTGGGACATGCTCCCACTCTGCCCTTGCTGACCGCATGATGGGACACGGTTCCTAACCTCAGTAGGTGATCTGGATATGCCTACTTTGTGAAGGAGAAGGCAGTGTGTCGTGTGCATGGACACAGACAGCACCTGGCCTATAGTCAGTGGACGGCACAGTGGCTGTCCCTGTCAGATGTCACCCTCTGCTGGGCAAGGAAGGGAGACGAGTGCCACCCCCACCCCGCCCAGGCACTGTGAGCTTGCCGAGGCTCTGTCCGCACCCGGAGTCTGTGCCCACAGGGAAGGCTAATCCTGACATGGGGCGGGGGCCAGCAGAGTCAAGACTTTGTGGTCCACGAGAGCCACTTTGTAGCGCCATTTGGCACTGACGGCAACAACCAGCGAGCCCCGTGAACAAACGCCTGCCTTCCCCGGCCTCCTCTCATGACACCGCCCGAGAGCGGCGCCTGCGCATGGCTGGACAGTACAGGGAGGTGTGTCTCACTGAGAGACGGAGAAAGGGACCGGCTGCTGGTATAGCAAGTTAAGCCCCTGCCCGGGATGCCCACTCCCCACGCTGGAGTCCCCGCTGCCAAGTCACACCTCCATTTTTACTCCAAGATTCTACTGATGCTCCTGGGAGACAGCAGATGCTCACTGCTGCACTTGGGTTGGCCTCTCGCATGGAAGACCTGAGTGGAGCGCCTGGCTCCTGGCCTTGGCCCGGACCAACTCAGGGAGTAAACCAGTAAAAGGCAGGCAGCTGTCTGTCTCTGTGTTGTTTCCCATGAGTAAACTTGCTCTAACATGACTAAACCAGGCCCCTAGGCAGTGCCAGCCCTGCTGTAAGTCGACCAGTGGGCAGTGTACTCCAGAGCATCTGCTTGGTTCTCTACTGCCCCACCCGACCAGCTGGCTCCACAGACGGCGACTGGCCGCCTGGCACAGTGAGAGGGTGCCGAGCTGCGGCAGCCAGCTTGTCGGATGGGCTCAGGTGATGACGCTGCTGGCAGGGCCCTCACACGTCCAGCTGTGCACTGGCTGCCCTGTGCTCCAGGCCAGAGGCCCAGCCGGGTTCTAACCACCTCTCTCCTGCAGGAGGCGGTGCTCAGCACCTGGCTGCAGTTCAGCGACGGCTCAGTGACACCTGTGGACATCTATGACACCAAGGACTTCTCCCTGACCGCCACCTCCCTGGATGAGGCCGTGCTGTCCGTCCCCCAGGCGCACTCCCCCAGGTGGCCTGTCGTGGTGGCCGAAGGGGAGGGCCAGGGGCCACTGGTCCGAGTGGACATGACCATTGCCGAGTCCTGCCAGAAATCCAAACGCAAGAGTGTCCTGGCTGTGGGCATCGGCGGCATCCAGGTCAAGTTCGGACAGAGCCGCCAGGACGCTGGTCCAACAGAGGACGACGACGAGGAAGGGACCAAGAACCACGCCAGCGGCCGCAGGCACAAGACTCAGGACCACGAGCGCCAGGGCCAGGACGGGCACTTCCTGGGCAGCGCGGCCGTGGAGCGGGAGGAAGGGGCGCTCCGGAGAGTTCCTGGCACGGCTGCGTCGCCCCTGGACAGCGGGGTGGGGAAGAACAGCCGGCTGGCTGGGGAGGCGCACATCCCCGTTGACTTCACCCACTTCCCGGCGCAGGCGGAGCTCCCCGCGGGGGCCGGGCTGGCGGGCAGTGACCTGCTGCAGGCGCCCCGAGGCCTGAGCGACCTGGAGATCGGCATGTACGCGCTGCTGGGCGTCTTCTGCCTCGCCATCCTCGTCTTCCTCATCAACTGTGCCACCTTCGCCCTCAAGTACCGGCACAAGCAGGTGCCCCTGGAAGGGCAGGCCTCCGTGAGCCACTCGCACGACTGGGTATGGCTGGGCACCGAGGCGGAGCTCCTGGACAATGGGACTGAGGCGGCGCCGCCCCAGGACCAGCACACCACCACCACCGTCCTGGACCACAGGCTGAGGGTCCCCCAGGAGAGCAGCCGCCTTCTGCTCGACGGGGGTGCCCAGAAGCAGGTGCAGGGCCAGGTGCACAGGCCTCCCGAGGCGGGGGGCAGGCAGGAGGCCCCACACTCGCCCACGTGCAGACGGAAGAAGGTGCAGTTTGCCACCTTTACCACCATCCAGCCAGACGACAGCTGTCCCACCGTCAACTCCATCGTGGGTGGCCCCGAGGACATCTCTTGGGTATGCCCCGACGTGGAGGCAGGTGCCCCCGTGGACCTGAGCTGCTACCTGGAGAGCCGTGAGGAGCCCGCATAGGGCCCGGCCTCGAGTGCCCAGTGCGCCGTCCTAGCTAGGGCTGCCGTTGGGCTGAGGGGCTTCTCCGGGGACTTTGAGCAGCACGGGCCAGGCCTGGTGCTAAGGGACTGGGAGGGCTAGGGCCGGGCTGGGGCATGTGTGCACCATGGGCAGCGTGCCCTCGTCGGAGGCCTGGGCTCTGGCCGGGCACAGCTGCTCACCTGTGGGATGCGAAGCCACAAGGTGGTTGTATGGCTCACATGCAGACAAGTGACCAAAAATTATTTGTTACAAAACACAAAAAGACAAATAAAAAGAGATGAGTGACAACCTGTTAATATTTCTAATAAAGGAGCCACCGGTGACCTTGGGGCTTGCTGACACCGTGTGCCCCAAGTTCAGAGTGGGCAGGGAGGACAGTACAGACAGGACGCCTCTAGGCACAGAGCCCAGGGTCTGCTCTCCGCGTGTCCTGCTGCACGGCGCTCCAGCGTCCAAGGGCCAGGGCCATGTGTCTCACCTGAGGCCGGAGGAGCGCCCCCCTCAGGTGCCCGTTCAGAGGCAATGCGGAGGGTCCACTCTGGGAGCTGTAGCCTGGACGCCTTCCCGGATCTCCGGCTTGGTTGAACTTGTATTTTACAACTAAGGGACCCTCAGACCTCATGTGGACAAGCTGGCCCTGACCCTCCCAGCGATCAGAGCAGGCCAGGGGCAGGGCCGTGTGGAGAAGGACTGCAGTAAGACACTCCCAGGGCAGCGTGAGGCACAGGGACCAAGCTGACCAGAGACAGGGTGTGGCAAGGGCTGAAAGTGGCCAAAGAGATCAGCGTGCCAGGGGGACAGAGATGGCAAACGCAGAGGACAGGGCCGGGTGCCTGTGGCACGCACTGGCTTTCTAGGTGCTGGGGGCAGGTACCCGATGCTGCAGCTTCGATTGCCTGGAGCAATTGCTTCAGTCCCTACTGAGGCGCCAGCTGGGGGTCCCAGCTCCTTGCAGCCCCCTGCTAACGCGAGTCCTGAGGAAGCACACGACAGTTCACCAGAAAACCTGACCAAGTCGCTCACTAATGGGAATGGATGCCCACTGTCTCCAGCTGTGAACATTCACGGCCGTGACCGTGGGCAACCCAAACAACGAGCCCACGTGATTTAGGAGTGAGATGCTTTTATAAAGTTATTCCAAAATACAGCAACAAAGACAGTAGTTAAACTCAGAACCCAGATACGAGCAAATCCACAAACACCGGCTTGAGTCCACAGCTGCTGCAGTCACTGGGGACACCGACCCCACCCTCCACGGAGGCCAGCCTCTGGTCTCCGCATGGCGTGGGACACCTGGGAGGCGTCCCAGTCGCAGCCCGTGCAGCTTTCAGCAGTGCACGTCACGCACTCCTCCTTGAAAACCAACATGTGCACCATGGGCAGGTACCCGGCCACGGCAGACCCGGCCACAGCAGACCCACCACAGCCCACACCTGCGACGCCAGGTGTGTGGCTGGCATGGGAACTGTGGGCACGCCTGTGGGAGTTCCTGGCAGTGCTGACCCCACAGTGCTCCAGCTCCATGACCACAAATGCCCAACGTAAGCAGAGACTGGAGGACACGGGATGCTCTCAGGCCGTGCGGCCTCCATCGCGAGCTTGGGCAGCACAGTCACGGCCGCGGGCTCGGCCACACACAGCCCCCCGGGAGCCTGGGGCTGAGGCGCGTACCCCACAGTGCAGGCAGAGGCCTGCTGGCTTGTCTCAGGACATCCCCAGTCCGTCCCTGCACAGCCACGGGTCCAGAGGTGGCGTCAGGCCCTGGCGCTGGCAGCCGTGCCGTTGGCCCTGGCTCGCTGGCGGTCATACCTCACAGACACGACGAGGAAGAGCAGGAGCGTGGCGCCCTGGACGGCGGCCAGCAGGAAGAAGTAGTAGTTCAAGTGGCAGCCGTTGATGTTGCCTGTGGGGAGGGAGAGCAGGCAGCTCGACACCGCTGCCCACACACGCCAGGCCACGGGCACTGGGGCTCAGGGAGAGCCTGCGGCCAGCCTCCGCCACGGGCACTGGGGCTCTCGGGGAGAGCCTGCGGCCAGCCTCCGCCACAGGCACTGGGGCTCGGGGAGAGCCTGCGGCCAGCCTCCGCCACGGGCACTGGGGCTCGGGGAGAGCCTGTGGCCAGCCCGGGGGGTGGGGACAGGAGACACCCACCACCCAGCAGGTGGCACCAGAGGGAAGTGGCAAGAGGCAGGGGAATGGCGTGAACAGCAGCAGGCACGGAGCGGCCGACACAGCAAGCGACAGCAGCAGGCGACCCTGACTCGGCCCCGAGCTGCTCCCTCCACACGGGACTCGCGAAGGGGTCAGTGCTGAGTTTGGACTACACTCCAGCTTTCAGGCCGAGGCCGAGCCAGGGTGCTGGCGGTGTCACTCCCACGAGAGTCCCTTCCAACAGCTGAAGCTCAAAGCCGCAGGCCCAGCCAGGTCCCTGCAGACACCTCTGGGAGGTTCCACCGTGAGCGCCTGGCAGAGCGAGGCATGCTGCCCCGAGTGCAGTACCCAGAGATGCAGCCTGCGCCCCGTGCTTTCGCAGAAGCCAGAAAGCCACGCCCACGCGCACCACACCGGCACCGCTCGCGGCAGCACCTCTGGGTGTGGCAGACATGCACGCTGCGGCACGCTCACAGGAGTGCTGAGGGCCAGGCCGTGGTCACAGCAAAGCAACAGGTGGGTGGGCACCCCAGAGTGCCCGCCTAGTGCGGGTAAGATTAACTAGGAGACGGGAGGAAGGCTCTGGAAGCATGGGGAGGTCTCACAGCCATGAGCCCCACCCCACGCTGGACGCTGATGCGCGGATCCCATCTAGAAGCAAACAGTGATGACAGGAAGGGGCCGCCAGGCAGCTGTGGGCAGCAATGTGCGTGAGCAGCAAGCTGCTGCCCCGGAACGCCATCCCAGCACCCCAGCTGACACAGGACAGGTGTGGCCATGCGGGTGGGAAGGGCTCCAGGTCACTTCCGGGTGAGGGCTAGGTGCTGCCCTCTATTCTGAAGTCTCCCAGATCCAGCCAGCTGGGAACTCTGCCTACATTCTGGCCTCTGCTCCTCCTTGCAGGGCAGTGGCTGCCCCAGAGCTGCTCAGCCTCTCTTCAGGGAGTATGCAGTCTGTCAAGGCCGCAGGCACTGGGACAGAGCCTACAGATCCTCAGGACTAGGGCTGGGCTGCGGGTTAGGGGGAGAGGGCCAAGGACCAGGGCAGGGCTGAGGGCCAGGACAGGCTGAGGACTGGGGTGGGAGGCTGAGGACCAGAGACGGGGGCTGAGAACCAGGGCAGGGCTGAGGACCAGGGTGGGAGGCTGAGGGCCAGGGCAGGCTGAAGACCAGGGACGGGGGCTGAGAACCAGGGCAGGGGGCTTAGAACCAGGGCAGGACTGAGGGCCAGGGACGGGGGTGAGAACCAGGGCTGAGGACCAGGGACGGGGCTGAGGACCAGGGCAGGGTTAAGGACCAGGGCAGGGCTGAGGACCAGGGTGGGAGGCTGAGGGCCAGGGCAGGCTGAGGACCAGGGCAGGGGGCTTAGAACCAGGGCAGGACTGAGGGCCAGGGACGGGGGCTGAGGACCAGGGCTGAGGACCAGGGACGGGGGCTGAGAACCAGGGCTGAGGACCAGGGCTGAGGACTGGCAGTGGTGCGTGGCGGGGTGTGCTGAGGACCAGGGACGGGGTTGAGGACCAGGGCTGAGGACTGGCAGTGGTGCGTGGTGGGGTGTGCTGAGGACCAGGACAGGGGCTCTGACTGTGGAATTCTGCAGATGGTACAGAAGGCACAGACCCCTCACCACAACCTCACGGTATCCAGCACCAAAAGCAGCCAGTGAAAACCGAACCAGAGCAAACATGGCACTGCAGCACACCCCCTGCCAGCCTGCGGCCTCTGCCCCCGGCCTGGGTAACACCCCAGTCTGCAGGGAAAGCCCTGAGCCCCCAGGTAGCACCCTGGCGCTGTGTGCTCGGCCCTGTGAGGAGCAAGGAGCTGCATGAAGCGGGCTCTGACGCAGAGCTCATCCACCTCACAGAGGAGCAGGGTCCAGAGCAGGGGTGAGCTCACCAGGCGGGCAGGAGGGCCAGCGCGGGGGTGAGACACAGCAGGTGACATAATCCGTGTAGGAGGCCAGCGTAGGGCGGTGCACCTGAGGCTGGCCCGCAACACCCTCCCTGCACCCCGGCCTCCTCCAGCCCAGGCTCGCCCGGGCTGCGGCTCTTACCAAAGTCCGTGTGGCTGCTCATCCACCCAATGGCCTTGATGGACACGAGCGCCAGCAGCCCTGAGCCCACGAAGGAGCCCACGCCAGAGAAGAAGAAGAAGAGGCCCATGATGGCGCTCTGCATGGACTTGGGGGCGGCCGAGTAGGCGAACTCGAGCCCTGTGGAGAGAGGAGGTGTGATGTGCAAGTGCACCTCAGGGCACCAGCGGCACGTGGGCACCACGGACGTGCCTGCTGCCACCCCCCACACACCAGCAAAGAGCCGTGAAGAGCGCTGGCCCCTGCCTGCCTGGGGGATGGCAGCCCTGGCCCCAGGACAGCAGCCCTGGCCCCAGGACACACTGCTCTCCTGCCGGCACAGCCCACGGGCGGCGGGAAGCCAACACCGGACGGCAGAGCTTGGCCCGGTTCCTCTGGAGTCAGCCAATGCAATGGTCGCCCACGCCCTTCAGTCTCCAGGCACGGGACAGCCGTGCAGGCCGTGAGGGGGCGGACACAGGACCCTGCAGTCGCTCACAGCAGCTGGTTCTGCAGGGTGCTCAGGGCACTGTGCTCACTGCCCACCCTGCGGTGCGGCCACGAGAAGACGTCCCAACAGCCTGAGCCTGGCTGCTGGCGAGCCACCTGCAGGGCCACGCTCTGCGCCCTCACCCACGGCACGAGTGGGGCAGTTACCGAGCTACAAACATTTGCGGGAATTTTTTGTGTGTCAAGAATGAATCTCAACCCATGTCCCATCCGTGCTCTCAGCCACGGAAGGTGAACGCCACCAAAGGGCCCTGCCCCTGCGGCCCCAGCGGATCCCCAGCCACCACGGCCCGCTGCTCCACAGCCTCACCTGCTATGCTGGCGAAGATTTCGCTGACCCCAATCAGCACGTACTGGGGCACTTGCCACCAGATGGGCAGGTCCGCCGCGTGGTACACCACGTTGCCGATGGTCTGGTTGATGGTCCTCTCCTTGACCAGCTCCAGTCTTTTACTCTCCAGAATCCCTGGAATCCAGAAGTCGGTCAGCGCAGCACGTACGTTCCCCCTGCCGTTCAGCTAAGACAATACCTGCCCCAAGATGCTTCTGGTGCACTGAGAACCACAGCAAAGGGGGGTGCCACGACTGCCCTCGGCACCCCAGTGAATGGAGGGCAGTCTCGTGGCAAAGGGGGGTGCCCCCACGACTGCCCTCGGCACCCCAGTGAACGGAGGGCAGTCTGTGGCACCGCGGCAAAGGGGGTGCCCCCACGACTGCCCGCGGCACCCCAGTGAACGGAGGGCAGTCTGTGGCACCGCGGCAAAGGGGGGTGCCCCCACGACTGCCCCCGGCACCCCAGTGAACAGAGGGCAGTCTGTGGCACCGCGGCTCCCATGGGGTGCCCCCACGACTGCCCCCGGCACCCCAGTGAACAGAGGGCAGTCTGTGGCACCGTGGCAAAGGGGGGTGCCCCCACGACTGCCCGCGGCACCCCAGTGAACGGAGGGCAGTCTCGTGGCAAAGGGGGGTGCCCCCCGACTGCCCCCGGCACCCCAGTGAACGGAGGGCAGTCTGTGGCACCGCGGCTCCCACGGGGTCTCACAGCCCAGCAGCACGGGGAAGGAGGGTGAGGCGCTGTTTCATCTGACGTTCACCGCATCACCATGAGGGGGCATTTCTTAGCCTTAGTGTCATGACAACCACACAGCGGGGTGGGGTATCCTCTGCCAGAGCACCAGCTGACCCCCACACACGGAGGCCCTCCAGCTCATCCGTTTACATCTGCTTGTCTGAGAGGCAGCGAGGCAGAGAAACGCAGAGACCTCCCCAAACGCATGACAGCCAGGCAGGGGTGGGCCAGGCCAGAGCAGGGAGTTGGGGACCACCATGTGTACTGGTCTCCCCCGCCATGTGGTGGTCTCCCCCGCCATGTGGTGGTCTCCCACCATGTGCACTGGTCTCCCCCGCCATGTGGTGGTCTCTCCCACTATGTGCACTGGTCTGTCCCACTATGCGTACTGGTCTCCCACCATGTGTGCTGGTCTCCCACCATGTGTGCTGGTCCCCCACGTGACAGCAGAGACCCTCTAACTGAGCCATGCCTGCTGCCTCCTGGGGTGCACACCAGGCAGGAAGTCGGCGTTGAGCAGAGCCGAGGATGAACCCAGGCTCTGTGACCACAGCAGGTGGCCCAAGCAGCAGCTCGGCCACTGTGACCAGATGGCCCACGTCTAGAACGTGTACTGAAGAGGACAAAAGGACCCACGGACGCCATCATGCAGACACACTCACTTCCAGCTGAGTACCCGTGGCCTGAGCATGAAGGGCAGGGCCGACCCGGCGGGGACACAGCCGAGCATGAAGGGGCAGGGCCGACCCGGCGGGGACACAGCAGGGAACGTGTGTCTAGCCGCCCTCAGCTGAGACGTGCAGGCAGACGGGGGCCCGGCAGACCAGGCTGGGGAGACTGCAGTCAAAAGCTGCTCACTGACAAACACACAGCAATCCTCGAGACCCCGCAGCCGAGCCCGCCCCCACGCTCCGGCCCCCAGCTTCCTTCCCACAGGCCTGCCCACACCCCAGGATGCGCTGGGCCCGTCCGGCTGGCCCCCTACCCTGTGCCTGGCCCTGGGACACCACGGCTGTCTGTCACACACACACTCAGAAAACAGGATGACGTCCCAAGAAGCTCGAATGCCTCATGCCAGAATCAGCAAGACCCTGACCTCTCCCACCTCCCAGCAAGCCAGACACCGCCAACCACATGTGGCTAGAAGCAAAAATGTCACAAAATAAGACAGCATCACTTGTGCATCACCAAGAAAGTCCCCACCCCGGGACACAGCGCAAGGAATGTCCACAAGACCAGCCAAAGCTGGCGTCACAGGCAAACTCACAGCCGGAGCGTCCTGCTCACCTGCAAAGGCGCAGACGAAAACAGCTTAACTCAGTGAGCGAGAAAGAACACCAGGAAAGCAGACAGGGAGGTAGCAGGGACCAGTGTTAACTCTTCAATCAGAAAACAGCAACCCCGAATTACAGACAAAGTCACACAGCCGGGCTGACCTGAGCCTTAGTGAGACCTGGAACAGACGGTTCTGGCGGACTGGCCGCACACGTGAACACACGAAACTGGAAATGGGGAAGCAGCCAGATTTACTTACACACTATTTTTATCTCCACTCAGCAAATCTCAAAACTCAAAAAAACGAAAGCTTCACAAGGAATCAAAGAGAATCAAGTGAAGGGAACAGAATGCTCCTAGAGGGGTGGCCGCGCACTCCTCACCGAGGGAGGCTCAGCGGCCTCCGAGACGCGTCCTCAGACCCCGGCAGCACGTGGAGGCCAAGGTCCCCACGCAAAGCTCTGCAGCCCAAGGACCCGATCGCGACAGCCACAGCAGCGGCACCTGACCTGTGAGCACGGCCTGGTCCCCACGGCTGGCACTGAGCAAACAGGGCTTACGTTAGAAATGGCACGTGTTGGTCAGGAACCCTATACATGTAAGACCCGTGAGCAGCCACAGGCAGTGTGTGAGTGTGTGTGTGAGTGAGTGTGCCCGGGCCAGCGGCCTCTGAGCCTCACACACAGCTGGCCTCGAGTGCGGCCGCCCGTGCTCCAGGACCCACAGCGGCACACAGCTAGCCCCTACGCACTCAAGGGGAGTAGGAACCACATGATGGGAGTGGCACGCTTGGAAAGTCCTGCACGGAGCAGCAGAAACCCCCCGCGAGGGGCGGTGGGACCAAAGCAAAGAAACACAGCGAAGAAGGAAGAGAAACTGCCGCTCAGGCCCCGGCCTCGCATCTCCCACAGTCAGGCACCCGCGTCGGGCCCTTCAGGCAAGGCGTGCTGGGCGAGGCATGTCAGCAGCCCTGGCACATCCCGTCAGTCATGTGGTTCCTGAAGGTGACCCATGGGAGGGCTGACTGCTCAGTGCTCCCTGCTGGTGGGGAGAGGAGCTTGGCCGGCCTGGGCTGGACCGGGACAGACCCTCCGACCATCGGCACCGCTGCTTCTAGCTCATGGCAGAACACACGGAGGTGGAGGCTGGTGCTGCACTGACGTGCAGTGGCCGATGGCACAGGCCTGTCCTGCACAGCTGGCCCCTTCAGGATCTGAAGCCACCAACCACGCCATCACTGCCCGTCGGGGTAACAGCCCGGCTCCCTGGCAGCCATCACGGCCCGTCGGGGTAACAGCCCAGCTCCCTGGCAGCCATCACGGCCCGTCGGAGTAACAGCCTGGCTCCCTGGCAGCCATCACGGCCCGTCGGGGTAACACCCCGGCTCCCTGGCAGCCATCACGGCCCGTCGGGGTAACAGCCCAGCTCCCTGGCAGCCATCACGGCCCGTCGGGGTAACAGCCCGGCTCCCTGGCAGCCATCACGGCCCGTCGGGGTAACAGCCAGCTCCTTGGCAGCCATCACGGCCCGTCGGGGTAACAGCCAGCTCCCTGGCAGCCATCACGGCCCGTCGGGGTAACAGCCCGGCTCCCTGGTAGCTCCCACAAACTCACTGAGCGGTGAGTTCTTCCCATTCCTAACAAAACCTTGACTGCTCCTAGAACAGGACCCCACTCCAGAGAGCACCCCAGCCACCAGTGCCCCCGTCCCTGCCCAAACACGTACAGAAACCCTGGAATATCCCAGGTGGCCCCAGGGACAGCCACAAAAGTGACTCAGCCACAGAGAAAGCGAACAGAAAGCATCTACGAGAGAACGCATGGATGAAACGGACATCTCCCCCCTCTGGGACAGAGGTTAAGTCCCAAGTTCCTTGACCGCAGCCCTTTGTGGGGTCACACTTCCGGCCAGGCAGGGCTGGGGCATCGGACAAGCCGCCCCTCCTGACAGCCCTGACTCAACCAGCTGCGGGTTTCTCCTGCCCGCCTCCCCATCACAGCTCCGCCAGGAAAGCTGATTGACACAAGCAGCGTCATCGGATATGACCTGACTTCACGATTCATCAACGCGATCATTGTCACCTTCCAACGACCCAGCCTGGAGGGCCAGTCCAGCCATGCCCAAGGTCCGACGCGTGCCAGGGTGGCCGGGACCGCAGCGGACGGAGCGTGGTCCCTGGGCAGCAGCTTCCTTCTCGCACGCTTGCTAAGAGCCAGCCGGGGTGCGTGCAGGGACTACGCGCTAATGACGTGACTCGACTGCAAACATCAACCCAGGGAATGTTGCAGAGCAGGCCAGGAGGGCCAGCCTAGCCCAGCTCCACCAGCCAGGACAGACAACACTCCGCAGGGAGAACCAGGACGCAGGGCAAGACACGTGAGTGCCCCCCGCTGGGGGAGTCATGTGCCCCGTGCCGGTCAGGGCTTCTGTTCTGTTTTTCCCGTTAGAAAAAGAGAGAAACAGAGAAGGTGGTGCATCCGCCCGTTCACCCCCAAACGCCTGGAACAGCCAGGGCCGGCAAGGCCCGATCCAGCTGTCCCGTGTGCGCGGCAGGACACAAGTCCTTGGCCTCCACCCGCTGCCTCTCAGGGTGCCCTCCGGCAGGAAGCTGGTCAGAAGCGATGCCACTGGGACTCAGCCGGGCACTGCAACATGGGACGCCATGCTCCAGGCAGTCTGCACTTGACACCCACCTAGACCCGTCTCACTCCAGGTGTGGGGCCACTGTGCCCCACGTACACAAGCTTTGACATAAAAACTGTGAAAGGCCTCCAGCAGCCTCGACGGGGCCCAGGCCGGGTCCAGGATGCAGTTCCCCTCCCAGGAACCCCGCGAGCCTCCCAGAGCACCCTGTGGCTGCCGTTCCTGACCACTGCACAGCGAGCGCATGACCAACCCCGGGCAGGACCCACAACCCCGAGCCCACCCCCGAGCCCACCCCCGGCGGCGAAGGCGGAGCGCATGACCACCCCCCGCAGGACCCACAGCCCCGAGCCCACCCCCGGCGGCGAAGGCGGAGCGCATGACCACCCCCGGCAGGACCCACAGCCCCGAGCCCACCCCCGGCGGCAGCGGGCCTCACCGGCGGCGAAGGCGGAGCACATGACAAAGAACATGCCCACGGCGATCCTCTTGAGGGAGGAGGGCAGCAGGCCGCGCCTGCGCAGCATCGGGTCCACCAGCCGGTCCTTAAGTGGGATGAGCAGCAAGATGAGCAGGGCATCAAACATGGTGAGCCAGGCTGCCGGGAACTGCGGGACAGAGGGGCAGGCGTCACCCGAGCTCCATGCGTGTCACACCGCCGCACGGCCCTCACTCCCAGCTGGGGGCACACACCTGTCACTCCCAGGTGGTACACGCACACATCATTAATGCCCCATGCACATCATACCCACCCATCGCTCCCAGCTGGGGGCACACACACGTCACTACTGCTCCCCGCCTGCCATGCCCACGGCACACCCCTCACACCTCCTCCGTGGTGTGCCCACCACACACCTGTCACTCCCAGCTGGGGGCCACCCTGAGGACCCTGTCTGCCGGCCGGCACTCCGACACAATGGGACTGATGTCGGCCAGCCTGGCCCGCTGAACACCGGCACCAAGCAATGCCCTCCCAGGAAAGTACCCATGCGCATCTTGGTTCCCGCTCGCCCCACGAGCCCCTGGGAAACGGCCAGCAGACGGCGTGTCAGCCTTCACACCACGGGCAGGCGCCTACCGTGTGGTGGGCAGTGGTGATGCTGGGGATCTCTGGGATCCTCAAGTGAAGGCTCTGCAGGACGTAGGTGGTCTGCATCTGGGGACAAGAAGCGGGCTCAGTGCGGGACGCCCAGCGCCCGGCCAACCCCGGCCCGGGGACACAGGACGACGGTCAGCCGCCTGCTGGACCTCCAGGAGCGTCCCCTGCAGTCCGTTCCGTCCAGTGATCCAGACGAGACGGGAACGTGCCGAGGGCCTGGGAAACCAGGAGTTCTTGGCTTCTTTCTGGGAAAGGGCTGCCAGCCACCGGAAGGAGCCACTGCGTCCCAGGTTCGCGGCCGCGGGCAGCCCTGCGGGCCGCGGGGAGGCACTCACTTGGAAGTACACTGTCCAGTAAGGAATCAGAGCCAAGAAGACAGGCACGGTCTTGACCAGAGCCTTCACGTCTTCCACGGTGTCTTCCGTGAACGGCCCTCCGTGGGACATCTTACATGAATCAAACAGACTTTGTTTAGAAGATTGTTGAAAGACTCCACTGCCTTCACTTTGGGAAACAGAACGAAGGAATTAGTTTTCTTCCACGGCCAGCAATCCTTGGTAACAAACGCAGTTTGGAGGTGGGACCCAGCTCCCTGCATTCAGCCAGCTGTCTGACACATGCTAACCCTGGTGGCAAAGCCAACAGACGGAGCGCCAACCTGGGCCCTAGCCCGGAGCCACTGCCGCCCCAGCAGCTGGCACGCCCTGCGGCCCCAGGGCAAAGCCATCAGACGGAGCACCAGCCTGGGCCCTAGCCCGGAGCCACTGCCACCCCAGCAGCTGGCACGCCCTGCGGCCCCAGGGCAGAGCAGTGGCAAAGCCATCAGACAGAGCGCCAACCTGGGCCCTAGCCCGGAGCCACTGCCGCCCCAGCAGCTGGCATGCCCTGCAGCCCCAGGGCAGAGCAGTGGCTCTGTCCACGCTGAGTGAGGGGCCCGTGAGGGCCCTGCAGCTGGCCAGCCTGGTATACACACGCAGGTGCCTTTTTGGGGACGAGCCCCGCAGCTCTCAGGGTCTCATGCCTGAGGGACAAGCCTTAAGAAAACAGAGCCGCTTCTGCTGCCAGGTGAGACGGGGTGGGGAGGCCTTCCTCCTGTTCAATGTGAGCACCCAGTCACCGTCAGTAAGGAGGGCCAAGGCCAGAGGGACCCCAGTCACCTGGACACAGGTTCCCTAACCTAAAGCGATGGGGGCGGCTGCTGGCCACAGTGCTACGATGCTCGGCCTACCTGTCCTGGGGGCCCTGCTCACCCCAACCCCCGATCACGCAGCCCCGGGAGAAGGCAGGGGCTAGCTCAAGCCTGGCCACTCCCGTGGCCTGTGAGCCGGCCGGCCCTGGTCTTTGTGGGCGCTCGTGGAGGAATCCAGAAGGTGAGGGCTCCGTGCTTCCCTCTCCTTCCAGGCTAACAAGAACGGTTAGGACAAGGGCTGGCATCTGCCGGGCAATGCAGCATCAGCACCCAGATCCTTAGTGTGTCCCCAGCGAGCCAGCAGGAAGCGGGACACAGCAAGAAGAGGCTGAGCTCTGAGCCACTGTGAGGATGCCCATGTGGACATCAGACACGCTCAAAATGGCTCCCCGGGCAGAACAAAAGCCCACAGGATGTTCCGGCAACCAGCGCCGTCCAGACGTGGAGCTCCCAGATCTCAGAGGCCACGCAGCTGGCGTGAGTCTGAAGTGAACCAGGCCCTGCTCAGGGGCTGGCCACAAACGTCCTATGGCTGGGCTGCTGGAATTCACAGAATCGCACGTGCCACAGGAGGGTCTGGGCACAGCCCAGGAGGTACCCCAACATTGGCACGCACCTGCCGGGGTCCCACAGGGCTCCCAGATACAGCCCTGTCTCCAAGCCCTGGTCCACGGGCATTAAGTGCCGGGCCCCCAAGCCCATACAGGTCGCCCCAGAACACCCAGCAGTCCAGCTCCTGTTGCCATGGGAGGCAGCCGTGCCACCCTCTGGGCAGCGGCCTGCTCTCAAGGGGGCAGCGAGGATGTCTTCAGGCACACAGTCACCCAGCCTGCCTCTCCCGCCCCTGCCAGCATCCCCCACCCACCGCCAAGCAGCCTGGGAGAGCAAGCGCCCTGTGGAGGTGGGAGCCGGAGCTGGGGGCGGCGGCCCAGCACGCTGTGTGCCCGTGCTGGGAGCCGGGTACTCACCGGCCGCCCGGGCGTTCTGGCCGCCACGTCCGGGAGCAGCAGGAGTACGTGAGGACCTTGACCATGTCCGTGAAGGCGCTGCCATCGGGCGGCTTGGTGATGAAGACGCTCTGGCCGCACAGGAAGACCACGAGGGCCACGCCCACGCAGACTGTGGGGATCACGTAGCCCGCCACGAAGCTGACGTTCTGCTGGATGTAGGCAATGCCGCCCAGAGAGATGATGGCACCCAGGTTGATGCTCCAGTAGAACCAGTTAAAAAACCTCCTCGTGGCTTCTGGGCCTCGGTCCTTGACCTGCAACGACGGAGACACGAGCACTCGTGAGGGAGGTGGGCAGGGCACTGTGCCCACACAGCCTGCAGACACAGGACGCATTTCTGGAGCCCCCTGGCAGACAGCTTCCTGGACAGGAGCCACGCTGGTCCCAACAGGCCTGAGCAAGACACCCGGCGTGGCCCAGCTGCCCGGGAATGCTCCCAATGCCCGGGACACTCAGCACCCGCTCTGTAGCCCACGAGCTCTCGTCTGTGGGCCCGAGCCAAAAGCCCGCATCTTAAGCCACTTCCACGCGACTGCCACTGGTCAGTGAGGACAGGGCCACTGCCGTGGGCTGTTGGCCATCACTGTGGGATCAGAGCAGTTCTGATTTGGACAAGGATTCCTGGAAGGCTCAGGTCACCAGCCTCGGCACACAGAGGGCACACAGCAATATCCCGGCTCAGACCTGTCCACAGCCGGGCACACTCGGGTCCCTGGCATGCAGGCCCCTCTGGGCTGGTGCATCTGAACAGACCCAGGGCCAACGGAGGGCCTGGTGGGCCTCGGGCGGGCTCCGCTTCCTGGAGCTGATGGGCTCGCCACAGGCTGGTGCCTGGTCTGGCCCTGCCTATGCGACGGCTCCCACTTCACTGCCATGTGCGCGTCATGGAGACTACGGTCATCCGCTCCAGGGACAGGCCAGGCCCCTGACCCACTGTGTGACCGGTGGCACGTGGGCCAACCCCCAGCCGTGCCATGTGACAGGCCTCCACTGTCACTTCACACGGTATTCCAAGGTGTAAAAGTGAGAATCGAGGTTGTGTTGTGTGTGTTTAACATCGAAGCACAGCCACTGTGTTGGCAGGGAGCACATACAAACCGGCAGAGCGGCCACAGCCATCTCGGATGGCAGCTCGGAGCTTTAAATAAGCCACTCGCTCTCCTGCCGGTCAGCACTGGCCGCGTCCCAGCGCCCGCGCCCGTGTGAACAACGTCCTAAACCTAGAAGCTGGACCTGGGCCCTTCCTCCATTCTGCCAGCCGGAGGTCAGGAGGCAGCGGCCGCAGAGGAAACAGGGCCCCGAGGGCAGACAGCAGGCTCTGTGCTGACAAGCGATGGGGAAAAGCCCTGGGCACAGAGCAGGACTGAGCACAAGCTGGGCCCAGGGCCGCCACGTGCACAGCCCTCACCAGCCACAGCGGCCCAGCGCCCATGCTCTCGTACAGAACCCGGGACCCAGTGTGATGGCTCAGTGGCTAAATCCCCACCTTACAAGAGCCGGGTTCCCATCTGGAAGCCGGTTCGTGTCCCTGCTGCTCCACTTCCCATCCAGCTCCCTGCCTGTGGCCTGAGAAAGCAGCTGAGGATGGCCCAGGGCCTTAGGACCCTGCACCCACGTGGGAGACCCGGAAGAGGCTCCTGGCTTTGGATCGGCTCAGGCTGTTGCTGCCGCAGGGAACGAATCAGCAGCCGTAAGATTTTTCTGTATCTCCCTCTCTATAAATCTGATCTGCTTTTCCAATTAAAAATAAATAAGTCTTTTTAAAAAATCGCCAGAACTCTCCACGACACACAAAACATAGACACCTGACCAGCCTGGCAGAGCCCTGCCCCCCCCCGGCCCAGTCACACGGGAAGCTGGCAGCCACGAGCCTGTGAGCTGGCAGGGCCTGGGCAGCCCTGCAGCCCCACTGCATGGACACCTGTCCTGCCAGGGAGGCTTGGCCTGACTCGGCAGCAAAAGCCCCCAGAACCGGCCCCAGGAGCCCCAGCCAGCACAGCACCCTGCAGAGCGAGTCCTGGCCACTGAGGCCACCTGGGAATTGAACCAGCAGATGGAAGATCAAGGTCTCTCTGCCAGCAATCTTTCTCCGATGTGGGCTGCCAGCCTCTGGCCCCATCCACCAGGAGGCGGCGGACGGGGGAGCTGCAGGGACTTCAGGCGACCAGGACAGGGATCCCGGGGGGACGTCATGGAGGGCAGCACCCCAGAAACCACCTTCTCCAGGCTCACACATCCCTCCACGCCCTGGGCTCCATGGCCATCCACGGCAGAAAGCTGCAGCTCCCACACAGCCCACGCCAGTGCTCCAGAACGCCTGGTGCCCTGTGCGGGGCAGGGGCTGGCACCGCCTCCCCCAGCTTCTCAGTTCCTATGTGGCAGGGCCGGGCGGGGCTGCATTCCACACAGGCTCTATTTACTCCGAGAGGCACCCTGGTATAGCCCAGGGCACTCTCCTTGCTCACAGCCACTTAGAAACCAGAAACGCGACTGGCCCGCCCGAGGCCAGGGCAGCCCAGCCCTGCTCCAGCCGGACACCGCCCGGGCTCCACCTTGCTGCCCTCTCACTGCCCACGGTCACGGAAGGGATCCCACGGGCTGACCCTGCCCCTCAGGCCTCTCCTCTGGCTTTCCCCGTCAACCTCACCCCTGAGTGTGGTCGCTGCAGCGCTGGGAAGGACCCACAGCAAGGGTGGGGCCCTCCCCCACTGCCAGCTGTCACCCCCTGCGTCCCCAGGCAGACGGAGGACAGCCGGTCCCTTCTGGAAGCCAGAAGGCCATCACTCCACATGCGGACCCCACCCAGCCCTCCCCTGGAAGGAACATTTCCCAGCTCCCATCAAGCCTGCCCCGAAGGGCTGGGTCTTCCAGCTCTCCCCGGGCGGGCCTCCCCCTCTCTCTCCCCTCCCTCAGGTCCAGTCCGGGGGAGCTCGGACAGGTGCAGGGTGGGTGCGCGGGGCGTGGAGCTGGGCGGGAGTGGCCTCCTGCTCCCTCCGACCCCCGTGCAGGGCCCCGGCAGCGCAGGTGCCAGGGGGCAGGGCGCGCAGCTCACCTGGTCGGCGCCGAACGGCGTGATGTTGGCTTTGACCGTGGCCACGCCCAGGCCCACGAGCGCCAGCCCCGCGAAGGTGGCGGGCGCGCAGCGGCGCGTGGCGGCGTCGGCGCAGGCGGCCCCGCGGCCGTGGGTCCCGGGCGCCGAGCAGTTGCGCAGGAGCGCGGGGCGCGGGGCCCCGCAGAGCGCGCCGCGCGTGGCCGGCGCGGCCAGCAGCGGGAAGACCAGCATGCCCAGCAGGTAGAGCGCCAGGCTGAGCAGGATGGCGCGCGCCCGGCCGAGCCGCGCGTCCGCCAGCCAGCCGCCGAAGGGCGAGCCCAGGTAGGTGAGGCCCATGAAGAGCAGCAGCGCCTGGCTGGCCTGCGCGCCCTCCCAGTCGAACGGCGTCCCGTTGAGGAACAGCACCAGGTTGGCGGTGACCCCGTAGAAGGCGGCGCGCTCCAGCAGCTCGGCCAGCAGCACGGCCCCGCACGCCGCGCGCCGCCCCGCGAACGCCCCGGCCGCCGCCGCCCGCCGCGCGCCCAGCAGCGGCGTCCGCTCCGGCTCGTCCTCCATGCCGCCGGCTCCCCGGAAGACGCCCAGGCTGCTGCCCCGCCGCCGCCCTTCTCGCGAGACCGCCGGGCCTCGCCGGCTCTTCCGGCCCCGCCCCGTGGCCAGCCGTGCGCCCGCGCGTGGCGGGCTGACCGGTCCACCGAGCCGGGCCCCGGCGGTGTCGCCTGCACCCCTGGCCGGCGACGCGTGGCTTGGGGACCCGGGCCTGGCCGGCTCACGCGTGGCTTGGGGACCCGGGGCCTGGCCGGCTCACGCGTGGCTTGGGGACCCGGGGCCTGGCCGGCTCACGCGTGGCTTGGGGACCCGGGCCTGGCCAGGGACGCGTGGCTTGGGGACCCGGGCCTGGCCGGCGACGCGTGGCTTGGGGACCCGGGGCCTGGCCGGCTCACGCGTGGCTTGGGGACCCGGGCCTGGCCGGCGACGCGTGGCTTGGGGACCCGGGCCGCAGGGGCAGTGGTGTCCTTTTGGCTGCATTCCTCTTGTTTCTCAGCCCTCCCTCAGCGGAGGTGAAGCCGCTGAGGGAGGGTCAGATACGGGGAGAATCACGGTGCTGGGCTTTCCAGGGTGTGGACAAAGCCTGTGGAAAATGAATAAAAGCACGCTAGAGGCAGCCCTGGGTGCATGTGGCCTGGCTCATGGGGGCGGCTTTCTGCCTGTTGTCTGTGGTCCTTGAGTCTGCAGCCGGGCCTCTGCAGAGTGGCTGCTGCGCTGGCTGGCCTGCTGCACAGGGGGAGTCTGCAGCCCGAGCCAGGCCTCAGTGAGTGCAGAGTGGCTGCTGCGCTGGCTGGCCTGCTGCACAGGGGGAGTCTGTAGCACTCTGCAGGTGCAGTGAGCGGCGGCCTGACTCGCACAGCAGCCACCTTCGCCCCTGTGCCTCCTGGTTCAAGGAAGCCTGCCATGTGCCCAGGTCGTGCATGGCCTGAGCCCGGGGCGTCCCTGTGAGAGCCTCACCCCGTGCGGAGCAGGGACAGGCTGCTGGAGGCCAGGGGTTCAGACTCCGCCGGGCCCAGGCTTGCGTAACTCCATGACGCTTCTGGTTTCTGCGGCCGCCTAGCTCCTGGAGTACCCTGCGTCAGGGCTGCCAACACTTCTGTTTTTCTGGTTCTCTCAGTTCCCCAGGGAGGGAGTGTGTGCCTCCAGCCTAGGCGGGAGTCAACAGATTTGTGACTTTGCCTCGGGCATGGGGAGCTGGCACCAAGTCTGCCCGCAAGGAACTCAGAGCAGGAAACAAGCGAAATAAGGGAACGTGGGGCCGAGTAATGGTGAGGAATCGGGCGCTCCGTCTCTGTGCCCGAAACAAAGCCACGCACACACACACACCCACACACGCATGCACACACACACATACCCTACACACACATGCGCACACACACGCATGCATGCGCACACACACATACCCTACACACTCACACACCCTACACACACACACCCTACACACACATACCCTACACACGCACACACCCTACACACACACGCATGCATGTACACACACACACTGCACACACACCCTGCACACACACACACACACACACACACACACTGCACTCACACCATACACACACACACACACACTGCACTCACACCATACACACACACACAGACACACCCTGCACACCCCCACCCACCCTGCACTCACACCGGCTGGACTCAGCTTGCAGAATGACATGGGCGGATTTGCCAGAGGATGTGAGAGCCTGAGCAGAGGAAGACAGATTTGCATGGGTCTGTATTTCTTTCCACAGGCTCGGTTATTTCGATCCTTTTCCTCCTTACTCACTTTCCTTCTTGGGGTTCTAAGAACCCTCAAGACATCTGCAGGAAGCCGAGCTCCCTGGCAGAAATGGGCTGGCAGGGGCGAGGCCAGCGGAGGGAGCTGGGCGGAAGGGTGAGCTTGCTGTTGCCTGGCTGCCACAGTCAGACTGCTGCTCGTAAACTCCCAGGGGAAGCTCCCTGGTCTGTAACCACAGCCAGGGGAGAGGGTGCGAGGCGTGGCTGGCTCCTGGAGACGCCTTCCCGGAAGGGCAGCAGCGACGGCCGCCAAGCCTGGGACCTAAGCCGCTCTGGGGCAAGGGTGAGGAAGGCCGTGAGTGGGTGCGCCAAAGGACCTTACAGCCCTCTGTGTGTGGACATAGTGATTTCAACAACCAGCAAAAGCAGAGGGAAGCTTCAGCAGGTGCGGTGTCCCCGTGCCCTGCCCCGTGTCCGGTGACGCAATGGCTGCAGGGAAGGGCCGGCACCACACCATGGCCAGTGGCCACACCTGCTGCCCTGCTAGACTATTGAATCCACGGGGACTCCCAGGGCTGGACGCAGGGCTGGCTGGGTCCTCTGGTCCCAGGGTCAGCACACAGCCAGGCCTGCCCCACCTGTGAGAGCCACCAGCTGTGGGGGCCACAGTCAGGGGTCTGGAGATGGACTTGTGAGCCATACTGGACAGAGCCACGTCCAGGGCCTCTGGCAGAAGGAGTCCAGGGACTAAGCTGCCCGGGACTGGTGGGGATGAGAGGAGGCCCTGTCTGCGGGACGTCCCATGGACGTGTCCCTGCTGCTCTATGTTCCGTCCAGCTCCTGCTGATGTGCCCGGAAAGCAGTGGAGGAGGGCCCAAGTGCTTGGGCCCCTATACCCACCTGGGAGACCAGATGAGGCTGCTGGCTCCTGGCTTTGCTCTGGCCCAGGCCTGGTCATTGCAGTCATTTGGGGGAGTGAATCAGCAGATAGAAGATCTCTCTGTCTCTCCCTCTCTCTGTAACTCTGCCTTTCAAAAAACATAAATGCACAAAACAGGGTGCAGAAACCAAAGTCAGTGGCTGTCAAACTCCCACTAGTCCCATAGCAGAGCTAAGGAAGTGGGTCACTCTACCTGCCAGTGCATCCTGGGGGCCGGGCCAGGCCTTGCCCTGCTGCAGCCAAGGGCCATGGGCACTGGACCAGGCCTTGCCCTGCTGCAGCCAAGGGCCATGGGCACTGGGCCAGGCCTTGCCCTGCTGCAGCCGAGGGCCATGGGCACTGGACCAGGCCTTGCCCTGCTGCAGCCAAGGGCCCTGGGGGCCGGGCCAGGCCTTGCCCTGCTGCAGCCAAGGGCCATGGGCACTGGACCAGGCCTTGCCCTGCTGCAGCCAAGGGCCATGGGCACTGGACCAGGCCTTGCCCTGCTGCAGCCAAGGGCCATGGGCACTGGACCAGGCCTTGCCCTGCTGCAGCCAAGGGCCATGGGCACTGGACCAGGCCTTGACCTACTGTAGCCAGGGCCAGGGGCACTGGACTAGGTCTTGCCCTGCTGCAGCCAAGGGCCCCGGGGGCCGGGCCAAGCCTTGCCCTGCTGCAGCCAAGGGCCATGGGCACTGGACCAGGCCTTGCCCTGGGCACTGTCCGGCGTCATGGCTGGGGGCTTGGTGGCCTGGATCCCTGGGAGCCGTGACAGTGATGGTGGACCACTGGTGCTGCTCTAACGCAGTCCTGGAGTCGGGCGTCAGTGCTGCTGGCCAGCAGGCTTGGGGTCCAGATGGGGACCGCGTGCTTACATCATAGCCCCGGCACCGACTGGGCATGGGTCTTTGCTGGAACTGAGACCGGAAGAAAGAACCCCGGCGTGTGCAGCGTGCCCCAAGTCACTTCCTCCCGCCCGTTCTCTGTTCTCCCTACCCTGTCTGTCCTCGGGGATGTGGTCATTGTTGCTGTGTGAGCGGGGGCGCCTTTGGCTCACTCACTTGGGTCCCTGCGTCGAGGTGAGAGACTCCAAACTTCTCCCAGTGTGCCCACTTTCCAGCGCCCTTGGAGGCAAGATGTGGTCACATGATCTGTAACAACCTCGCTAAGGGCTGTGTGAGTTTCCAAGGGTGGGCATTGAGCGGGCGAGACGTCGCCTGGGCACCTGCTGTCCACCTGGGCACCCAGGGCTCAAGTCCCAGCTCCATGTCTACACCAGCGTGTGGGAGCTCACGCCTGGATCTCCTGGCCAGCCGGTGTGGGAGGTCACGCCTGGATCTCCTGGCCAGCCGGTGTGGGAGCAGCGTGACGGAGCTCCCGGATCTCTGCCTGGCTTATGTGGGAGGCCATAGGCACACAGCACACTGTGCCCTAGGTCCCTGGCCCCCGGCTCCAGCCTGGCCCTCTTGGCTGCTGGGGCTGGAGAGTGAACCAAAGGACAAAAGGACTCCATCTCTCCGGTTTTGACTATCTTTCTTTCAAATAAATTACCAGCAAAAATTTTCAGAAAGAATAAATTTATTCCTATTTATAAAAATAAATGAGCCAGTGTCACAGTGCACCCAGTTGGGCAGTCCCTACAACAGTGGCTCCTGTTTGGATGCCAGTTCGAGTCCTGGCTGCTTCACTCTGATCCGGCTCCTTGTTCCTGAGCCTGGAGGCCAGCAGAGTGGTCCCCGTGCTTGGGGCTCCGACGCCTCAGCAAGGCCCATCTCTGGCTAGTGTGGCCATCTGGTAGATGAAAGATGTGCGAGTGTGTGTAACTCGACCAGTTTGGGGCCTGTTTGCCTTCTCAGTGCCTGGACTCTGAGCAGACGGGAGGGCCACTGCCGTGGTGTTGGTGAGGGGCTGGGTCCCAGGTGACTGTGGAGCCCCTGCTGCAGGTGTGGCCCTGCTGAGGGCCCCTCGTCCTCCACTTCCCACCTCCCTCCTCTCATCCCTGTCTGTCCCTGGGATGTGACTGCAGGCTGCAGCCCCTCTTAGGTTCTGGAAGACTCAGCAGGTGCAGGCCCCTGGTTTCTCTCCTGCAACTGCCACCAGGTCTCCTGTTAGTCCAGCTGGTCCTTGCCTGGCCCTTAGGGTCCCCCAGGTGCAGCCTTGGGGCCCCGCCCAGAGGGACAGCGTGGAACAGCCCTGCCTCTATGGGGACAGAGGCCCCGTGGCCCTGCGCGCGCCCCTCCCCACGGCCCCTCCCACTCCCTCAGTCCCCTCCCACTCCGGCCCCCTACATCCCCCTCCCCTGTCCCTCCTCCGTCCCCTCCTCTCCCCACATCCCCTCCACAGTCCTCTGCCACACCTCCATCCCCCTCCCCTGTCCCTCCTCCGTCCCCTCCTCTCCCCACATCCCCTCCACAGTCCTCTGCCGCACCTCCATCCCCCTCCCCTGTCCCTCCTCCGTCCCCTCCTCTCCCCTCCCCCAATCCCAGCGCCCCCTCTGCGCCGCAGCGGGCACGGGCACGGCCTCCGGGAGCAGCCAGCACGACCAGCCCAGCGCCGCCCCCGGCCCTGGTGGCGGTGGCCCGGTCGATGGCCCCGGTGGCGGCATGCGGCTCCTGTTCCTGGCTGTGCTGCGGCGGCACACAGGCAACGCCGTCACGGCCGAGCGCGTCCGGTAGGTGCGGGGCGCGCGCGGCAGAGCACACTGCCCAGCCTGGGTGCGGGGCGCGTCGGGGCCGCCGGTCACCGCGTGCGCAAACGGATGGAGGATGGATGCGGGCGGGGGCGCGGGGGGCACCCAGGCACGCTGGGCCCCGGGCCTCACTGCCCAGCTGGGCGCAGGTGGAGGCCGCGCGCGGCTGGCGCGGTGCCTCCGCCGGTCGGGCCCTGGCTGCGCCCGCGCTCTCCTGGTGCGGTGAGCGTGTAGGCGAGATACACGCAAAGGGGACCAAGCAAAGAGATGCCGCAGCGCCAGGGCTGTGCACACCATGGCCCAGGGAGGCTTCCTGCGCGGTGAGGCCCCGCAGCTCGGGGGGACCCAACCCCCTCAGCCGTCACCTCCAGGTCTAGCTTTGTCGGAGACTTGCCACCACAGCCTGCTCCCATCTCTGGCACCTGCAATCACCGGGTCTGGTTTAGGCGTTTGTCTGCGGACACTGGGAGGTCCCTGCTGCCGGCCACCATCTCCTGGAGGCGGAATGCTGCACCTGCGCCAGGACGGCCCGGGTCCTGTGTCCAGCATCTGGCTGCCCAGAAGCCCTTTCTGCCCGCAGCACGCCCTCCCCTCCCTGTCCACAGAGGTGGGTGCGCAGAGCGCTGCACTGCTGGGGACCCTGTTCAAGGCAGCAGACCGGAGCCTCCCCCAGGGGAGGAGCAGCCTGCTCTGAAGTTTGCTGGAGGATTTACAGGGAGGGCTGTCCTGGTTCTGCTTTTATTAACTTGTTAAGGATTTATTTTATTTATTTGAAAGGCAGTGAGAGGAGAGTGACTGCTCTTCCATTTGCCGGTTCACTGCTCGAATGGCCTGAACAGCAGGAGCCGACCACTTCTGGAACTAGGAACCTAGGGCTGCATCTGGGTCTCCCATGCAGGTGCAGGGCCCGAGTGTTTGGACCGCCCTCCGCTGCTTTCCAATGCACGTGTTTATGCCAGCAGCCTTCAGTCACCTGATCTTTGTGCTGGGATGGCTGAGGTTGGGTGACTGACATAAGAAGGAGGTTAACGCAGATGCAGTTCTGGGGGGTTGGAGGGCAGCAGGCCCTCTGGTTGGTTGTGATCTGGAGGGCAGCTGGCCGTCTGGTTGGCCATGGTCTGGGCAGCAGCTGGCCCTCTGGTTGGCTGTGGTCTGGAGGGTAGCCTCTGGTTGGCCATGGTCTGGAGGGCAGCATCTGGTTGGCTGTGGTCTGAAGGGCAGCTGGCCGTCTGGTTGGCCATGGTCTGGATGGCAGCTGGCTGTCTGGTTGGCTGTAATCTGGTTGGCGGGAGCGTCTGGTTGGCCATGGTCTGGAGGGCAGCTGGCCATCTGGTTGGCTATGTTCTGGAGGGCAGCTGGCCCTCTGGTTGGCCATGGCCTGGAGGGCAGCTGGCTGTGTGGTTGGCTGTGGTCTGGAGGGCAGCTGGCCCTCTGGTTGGCCAGATCTGGAGGGCAGCATCTGGTTGGCCATGGTCTGGAGGGCAGCTGGCCCTCTGGTTGGCTGTGGTCTGATTGGTGGGAGCGTCTGGTTGACTGTGACCTAGAGGGCAGCTGGCCGTCTGGTTGGTGTGCAGTGGCAAGGGTGAGGGTGTACACCTGTGTGTGTCCTGTGCGTGTCTTGTGTCTTGTGACCTCGGCGCCCTTCAGTAATACTGTGCTCATGTCCGTGCTCCCCTTCCCGGGCCCGCCTGTACAGGATCCCTCAGGCCGCACATCTGGCACCTCTCAGGGGTGCAGGTGTGCCCTCGGGGGGCTAGCATGGGATCTGGTGTCACGTGACCCAGCTCCAGGCTGTCCTGTTTGCACGTGCTGGAGGTTTTCTCAGGCTGCTGTGGGCAGGCAGGGTGGCCCCTGTGTGTGAAGTAGGTTTGGGTTGTAGACTCAGGTTACCAGCATTAAACTAAAGTGGGGCAGAGGGCAGACTCGTGTGGTGGGTTGGGCGAGAGGAATGGGAAGGCCATGAGGCATTCTTTGCAGTGATGATAATAAGTACCTTTGGAAATCTTTCCAAAGAATTCCCCCACTTGCGGTGGGCCAAGTGTTTGCAGCGTTAAGGGGCCACTTGGGATGCTGTTTCATAGCACCAGACTCGAGGGCCAGGTCCAATTCCCATCCAGGCCCCTGCTCACCCAGAGGACCAGGGGATGGCTCAGGACCCGGCCCCTCACCCAGAGGACCAGGGGATGGCTCAGGACCCGGCCCCTCACCCAGAGGACCAGGGGATGGCTCAGGACCCAGCCCCTCACCCAGAGGAGCAGGGGGTGGCTCAGGTCCCGGCCCTCACCCAGAGGACCAGGTGGTGGCTCAGGTCCCGGCCCCTCACCCAGAGGACCAGGTGGTGGCTCAGGACCCGGCCCCTCACCCAGAGGACCAGGTGGTGGCTCAGGTCCCGGCCCCTCACCCAGAGGACCAGGGGATGGCTCAGGACCCGGCCCCTCACCCAGAGGACCAGGGGATGGCTCAGGACCCGGCCCCTCACCCAGAGGACCAGGTGGTGGCTCAGGTCCCGGCCCCTCACCCAGAGGACCAGCGGATGGCTCAGGACCCAGCCCCTCACCCAGAGGACCAGGGGATGGCTCAGGACCCAGCCCCTCACCCAGAGGACCAGGGGATGGCTCAGGTATTTCTGTCCCTGCCACCTGGTGTAAGTCCTGGGCTCCTGGTGGTGGCCTGCCCAAGGGTTGGCCTTCATGACCATTTGGGGAGCAAACTCATGGATGGCAGATCTCTCTTCTTGGCCTCTGTCTTTCAAAGAGATTAAAATAACAAGAACTGAGGACTAACAACAGCCCCTGGGTACCGCCTGCAGGTGAGGCCCAGCTGGGATGGAAGTGGATCCGAGACTCTGAGAGGGTGGTGTTGCCTACCTGTGTCCGGAGCTGCTGGCTGCCGGGCTCAGCCCTCAGTCTGCCGGCCCTGGCCAGCCCTGGCACAGGATGCGGGGCTTGGATGGGTGGGTGTTGGTTGTTCTGTGGAGCTGGACACACTTGTGCTTCAGACTCCTGTGGTCTACCCATGCCCCTGATCTCCGTGTCTCTGCCGTCTGACGCAGGGACCACCTGGAGGCCGCAGGCCACATCTGCCTCCTGAAGGACGCCTTCGACTTCGACAGCCCATCTGACGTTGCGAGCCTCATCACGGCCGAGAACCTGCAGGCAGCTCTGGCTCTGCACCTGTACCGGGGTGGCCGCCTGCTGCAAGGTGATGCTCTCCCTGCTGCCGCCCCCACCATGCAGCCCCTGGAAGCCACTGTCCTTGGCTCCCCTTGCCCAGAGCTGCCGCCGTGGCTGAGCCCTGAGCTAAATGTGGGGTTCCCTCCGTGGCTGAGCCCTGGGCTAAATGTGGGGTACCTTCGGTGGCTGAGTCCTGGTTTAAACGTGGAATGCCTGCAATGGCTGAGCCTCGGGCTAATTGTGGGGTGCCCACCATGGCTTAGCTCTGGGCTAAATGTCAGGTGCCCACCATGGCTGAGCTCTGGGCTAATTGTGGGGTGCCCACCATGGCTGAGATCTGGGCTAAATGTGGATTGCTTGCCATGGCTGAGCCCTGAGTTAGATGTGGGGTGCCGCTCTGCCCCCACCTCCAGGATCCAGCCCAGCAGGTTCCTAGGGATGGTCAGCGTGGCTGTGACAGGTGGCCGGCTCACAGGCTCTGCTGACCACCACACGTGGCACCTCCAGGCAAACCGCAGTGCCATGGCCTGCAGGGACACCGTGCTGCCACTTGGAAAGCCAGGGCACCCCAGCCAGCCTCCCACCCCATCCTCTCTCTTGTGCAGGCTTGGGTTGTGGGCATTGCTGCTGACACTGCTCCTGTTGCAGGTCACCGAGTCCCGTTTGGCATCATCTTCGGTGGAACTGATCTGAACGAAGACGCCCAAGAGGAAGAGAAAAGCAGAGTCATGGGACGCGTCCTCCAGGAGGCCAGGTCGGTGGAGCCAGCGAGGCTGGGCAGCGGGCTGTAGGTGGAGGGCACTGCCCCCTGCGCACTGCCCACTGCCCACGGCCCAGCCTCGCTGGCTGCGCCGGCCTGGCATGGCAGATAGCCAAGTTCCCTCTGGGTGTGGCCTTCAGCGGTGAGCTGGAGGGGCATGGAGAGGAGGGCAGCTCTCCACCTGCTCTCTGTAACGTAAGGACGCCTGGAGCTGTAGAGGAGCGAGCCAAACCTCTGCTGCAGTGCAGGCAACCTGCGGGCCTGTTCGAGTCCCAGCAGCTCCCTGCTGACCGCCGGGGAAAGTGCGGAGGACGGGCCAAGGCCTTGGGCCCCTGCACCCACTTGAGAGACCCATAGGAGGCTCCTGGCTTTGGACCAGCCCAACCCTGTCTGTCGTGGCCATTTAGGGAGTGAGCTAGCAGATGGCATGGTTCCTCTCTATCTCTGTAACTCTGTGTTTCAAGTAAAAATAAAAAAAATATTTCTCTGAAAAAAGAAATGACAGTGGCACGTCATGGAAAAGGAGGAAATTAGCCTGAAAGAATTCAGCGTTTGTGTAAATCCCGAGCAGGGGACTTTTCCGATGACGGCTCAGGGGGAACTCAGCGGGGCTTCCTGGTGGATCCACAGGAAGGTCCCAGGCATCCTTGCCGCGAGCCCCTCCCCAGCCGCGCTCCTGTGCTGTCTGGGCCCACGGCCATGCTCGCAGGCGCCCCTGGAAGCGGGCTCTGTCACCAGCGCTGGGGGCTCGTGCCCAGCTGTCACCTGGAGGCGCAGAGCCCCAGCCCCGGCTGTGCTGCTCTCAACCCTTGCCAGGCCCCAGAGGGCCAGGGGGCCAGCGGGCGGTCCTCGAGCCTCCGCCTGGCTCTTGCGGAGACCTGGCTGCCTGTGCACGCATGCAGTCGGCGGACGGCAGCCTGTGAGTGCACAGGGGCTTTGCCGTCAGCGGCCGTCTAAGAACATTCCGGAGTTGCCCTGACAGGCTTTCTTGCTGCTGTTTGCTGCAAGATGCATGAGCTTTAGAGTCCCACAGCTCGTTACGCACCGGACAGTAAAGGCCTTCTAAGTATTATAGATACTTTACAATTGTCAGTATTTAATATTGATAATTAAACATTCAATATTACAATTATCAATATTAAAATTAAAGATTACTATTTTTTGAAAGATTGATTTGTTTTTATTTGAAGGGCAGATTTATAGAGAGAAGGAGATACAGAGAGAAAGATCTTCCATCTGCTGGTTCGCTCTCCAAGTGGCCGCAACGGCTGAAGTTGAGCTGACCCAAAGCCAGGGGCCAGGAGCCTCTTCCAGGTCTCCCACACGGGTGCAGGGTCCCAAGGCTTTGGGCTGTCCTCCACTGCTTTCCCGGGCCACAGGCAGGGAGCTGGATGGGAAGTGAGATCCCTGGGACATGAACTAGCGCCCATATGGGATCCTGGCGCATTCAAAGCGAGGACTTTAGCTGCTAGGCTATCTTGCTGTATCCATTATTATTATTATTATTATTTTAATTTGAGAGGCAGAGAGAGAGAAACAGAGAAAAGTCATTCCCCAGCTAGCAGAGAGCCGAGTCTCCCAGCTAGCAGAGAGCCAAGTCTCCCAGCTGGGTCTCCGTGGGCGCAGGAAGCCAAGTGTCGGAGTCTTCACCGTCTGCTGTCCTCGGGGGTCTACCTCAGCAGGAAACTGGGTCCCAGAGAAGGCATGACTGCACTGGGGGCCCTCTACCGTGGGACGTCCCCGCTGCGTGGATCTGCTGGCCGTCCTGCGTGGATCCGCCGGCCGTCCTGCGTGGGTCTGCCATCCTGCGTGGATCCGCCGGCCTGTCCCCGGGACTCTAGCAACTCCTTCCTCTGCCCTTTGTCCCTGAGTGGGCTCAGCCAGCTGAGAGCAGTGCTCTTCAAAAATTAGTCAATTGACTCTGCTGCGAACGCTGGGAAATCCGCTGGCGCCGTCTGCCGGGGCCTCTCCTTGGGTTTGGGCCTCAGATTTTATACTAAAATTAACTCCGGTTTTAGTCTCATTTTTTCCCAGAGGGAAGCAGCCTCGTGAGGTGGGCCTGCTGTGGAGCATCGGTAGGCTGCAGCTGCAGGGAACACCTCTGGCCATTGGGTGGGGGCGGGCCCTGGGCAGGCAATCTCCAGGCCAACTGGGGCCCAGCAGAGGAGGCCAACTGGATGTCCAGGCCTGGCCGTCTTCCTGCAGTGACTGTGTCTGTCCTGACGTCTCGACTCCCCAGGACTTGGTGCTTGTGTTCTAGCCCTTCGGGGGGCAGGTGCAGAGCCCCTGTCACGCACACCCAGCAAACAGTCTCCATCACTTGAGCCGGGCATGAGGTCCCTGCAGGTACATGGTCCAGTGCCTGGTCAGGTGCCACCGCGCCTCCCTCACCATCCTTATGGCCCCTGCGTGGAGTCCCTACTCTCTGCTCAGTGAGATCACAGACGCGTGGTGCGGAGGCAGGAGGGACGAGGGAGAGCCCAGCCTGGCCATCGGTCCTGGGGTTCCAGCCTAGAGCCCCTTGCTTGGGCTTCCTGTGGCCGCAGGCTTGGCCGGGCCTCCTTTGGTGTCTCTGCTATGCCTGCTGCATCTAGTAGCTGTAATTCCGCAAGGGGACAAGTTGCCACACAGTGACTGAGTTCCTGGGGGTTAGGCCTGTTTGCAGGCCCGGTGCAGGCCCGGTGCAGGCCCAGCAGGGTGCAGGCCCAGCAGGGTGCAGGCCAGGTGCAGGCCCAGCAGGGTGCAGGCCCGGGGGCTGGAGTCCGTTTGCTTGGGTTCTTGCACACACAGCCTGTCTGGGTGTGAGTAGAGTTAAACACAAAGGCCCACGAGCCCGAGCAGCAGCCTCGTTGCTGCGTCAGTCCGCGTCCTGCCCGGCTCTGCCGGCCTCACCGTTTTCCTTGTTCATTTGCTAGATTCGCTGTGGCGTTCTCCGAGTCCATGAAGGAGATGGCACAGAGGCGGTGGGTACGTGCTTCCCGCGTGGCTGTCTGCGCGGTGCCAGTGTCGTGGTGTGGTCGGGCAGCTCACGACGGGCACAGGGGCGGTGCTGCTGCAGCCGAGAGAGCTGTGATTGCTCTGTGTCTGCAGGAACTTGGAAACGTGTGACGTCAGGGAAGGTGTCGCCCAGGAGTCAAGGCGTGCTCGTGTGCTCCGTGCTCATGTCACACGGAGTGATGCTGCCGGGCTCCGCCGTGGCCACGGCTGCTGCTCCAGCCCCTGCAGTGCCAGCCTCCCGAGGACAGTGGCCGTTCCTGGAGGCTGCTGAGGAGTCAAGGATGGCTGAGGGGGCCTGCTTAGGAGCCGGGGCAGGTGGGAGGGGCTCGGCTGGACAGGCCTGCCCTGAGCCTAACCTGTCCCACTGCTGCTTGTCCAGCACTGCCTCCTCATTGAGCAGTACAGATCTCGCCAGCACATCTTGCAGGCTGTGCCCGTGCTTTATCTAATTTTCCTTTGCCAAATTCGGCAGACTGCTGCCCGAGGGAGGTGCAGGGCGGTCACGTGTGGGGCTCAGACCACGAGACCCACATACGTGCCGAGCTCTGCTGGGGCGGCTGTGTGTCTCCTTAACCCTCCTGTCCGCTGGAGGTCCCTTCATTTCTCAATGTGACTCGGGGAATTGTTGCCTCAGCATCAGGCGGCACACACCGGGCACGCTGGCTTCCAGTGTCTGGGCTGGAACTGAAACGTGTTTGTGCCTCGGTTCCGGCATAAGCTGGAGAAGCAGCTTCCATTTCTCTCCAGGAATCACCAGCAAGGGTGCCCTGGTGTGCCTTGCTGCCAGTAGCCAGGGCCACTGTCCCTTCCCCTCGCGGGACGTGAGCCCCTCCTGCTGTTCCCCGGGAACGAATCCCCCCCAGGGCCGCCTCTTTCTTCCTGGTTTCCCGGCATGCTGGGTCCCCCTGTTACCTCCTCCATTTCCCAGGAGTAGAGAGAATTCTCACTCTGGATGCGTGTGCACACTGTGCAGAACCTCCTGGCTCGCGTGTGGGGGCAGGCAGCGCCCTGCATCGTGTCTCACGCGGCGACCGGGGCTCCGGTCTCTGCTTCTTGCCGTGGCCGGGCTGTTCTTGCGTCAGCGCTGAGGCAGCTCTTGGCTCTTGCAGATCGAGTCTGTGAGCGGCTGTGTGCATGGGGTCGAGGGCCGCTCTCCGGGGGGCGCAGCGAACTTGTCATTTCTAAAAAGCTGTCGTAATGGACTGGCGTGTTGACTTTCTTTTCTCCTCTCTTCTTTCAAAAGCCGCATGCCAAGGGTAAGATCTTCGTCCAGAGCCAAGGTAAGAATCCTGAAGCGTAACTGCAGAGGTGTTTTAAGAGGAGAAGCCCTGTCTAGAGATTGCAATCAAATATTTACAGATGAGATAATGTGGCCTCTGAGGTGTGCGTGACGGTGGGACGGATGCGTCTCATGACTGCCCAGCAGACGTGGGTAGGAGGCCCAGAGGATGTGGGCCGCTGAGCGTGGTGAGCTGACTGGAGCCCACTGGGGGCGTGAGGCCTGGGCTCCCCGCTCTGCCCGTCACTGTGCTACCCCGGGCTGGCCTTGGGCGCCCCTGCCGAGGGCCTCCGAGCTGACGTACAGCAGGCAGGCGCGTGTTCCATGCTCCAGGCGCGGCTTAGGACCAGTGCTTCCCTGGAAGTGACCAGCAAGGGGTCTGTGGTCCACCTAGGCCCTGTGGCTGAGTGGTGTGGTACACTCGGCCGTGATCTTTTTTGAACAGAAACAATTTACAAAGAGGCTGGGGCATGGTCCGGGAGTGTTGAGACGCGCAGGGCCTGGAGTTCCCTCAGCTCGGCTGGGGCCAGCTCTGCCACCACACTCGGCCACAGTACATGGACCACCCTCGCGCTGTGCCAGCTTGCACGGCCTTGGGGCTCTCTGAGCCTCGGTTTCCAGTTTGGTCAGTGGCAGGACCACCTGACAGGTCCTGGGGTGGATGGGAGAGCATCGTTCTGGAGTCTGTGCCCGGGGCGAGTGCTGGCAAGGTGCTGGGCCAGCAGCTGCTGTGCGTGCTGCTCCGTGGGGGCCTCAGTCACACAGGTGCATTTTAGAGGTGGTTCATGACCAGCTGTTCCTCTTTGAAGCTTGCAAGGTTTCCTCTTACCAAGAATTTCCGAGGCTGAGTCCTGCTGTTCCCTTTTCTTGGAACATTTAAGCTTCGCTGAAGCAGTATGGGGAAGGAAAGGCGCCCAGATGGCAGGCAGCCCCGCCTGGCCCAGGAGAGGGGGTCAGCACGGCCTCGGTGTCCTGAGAGCTGGCACGGCGGGGGTGGGGTGCTGCAGGGACCGTGGCTTCTGGATGCATCTTTCAGGAACTTGGGTGTCTGCGTGGGCAAGAGACTCGGGCCAGCAGTGGACCAGGGAGGGGACAGACCGGTCTCTGAGCCCCGTGCTGCTGGGGGTGGGGGTCACGCGTGGGACTTGGTGAGGCCTGGGGCACCCTGGTGGCCATCACCATTTCACGATGGCGGGGGGACATTTCTGAGCCTGAGCCGAGTTTCTCTCCATCTCCCCCCTCCGGTCCAGGCATCACAACAACACCCAACATCACCTTTAGCTGGAGCAGCTTTCTTCAACGTGCAGGTGAGCCGTGGGCACGTGCCAGGCCTGCAGGCACTCGTGGCCAGGGGCCAGGGGTCAGAGGGACTCGCTGCTTATGGCAAAAGCAGGAGGAGGCAGGACTCGAAGGCTGCCAGGCGGGGTTGAGGCAGCGCACCTCTGCGGCCGCAGCTTCCTTGGGCTCTGACAACAGCCAGGCTGCAGCCACAGGCCCCGTCAGACGCCGCGTTCTGTACCTCCTGTCCAGTCTCAGCGTCATTCCTGCGTGTCCTTTAACTGGAGGGACAAAGAGAGAGGGTGGACAGAAAGGTAAAAAGAGAAAACCCATCGGCTGGCTCACTCCCCGAAGGCTGACGCAGGCTGAAAACCAGGGCTGGGAGCTCCCCCGGGTCTCCCACATAGTGGCAGGGACCCAGCTACTGAGGCCCCACCGCTGCCTCACGGGCAGGCAGCTGGAGCGGGAGCTGGGCAAGGCCCTGTGGCACGGGATGGCAGCCTCACAGCTGGCAGGAAGTCTCTCCCAATGGTTTCCTTCATACAAACAACACTTTGGGAGTGCAGCCTCCAGGTTGCCTGGAGTGGAAGAGGCATTTTCCTTTTTATTCTTTGGAAGCGTTAGCATGTTAGCTCTTTCATTTAAAGTCATCCCCATTGGCCTTACACTGATCTTGGGGTGTCAGTTTTTCTTTGTGAGTGTGTGGTATACCATTTATCGAAAACAAGCGAGCAGAAATTGACCTGCCCAGCCTGTGTGTGGGACAGCTCCGCTTCCTCTGACGGACCAGCCACGGCGAGCGTACCAGCGCATCTGTGTGCAGCTGTTGGCCCAGCTGTGTGGGCTTCCCTGGAGGCGGGCCTGGCTGTGTGTGGGGTTACATGCTTGCTCACACCGCACCCCGCCCCTCTCCCCTCTCCTGCCTGTGGGAGCAAAGTCTGTTGGCTGTGCAATTTAAGAGAAGCTGTGTTGTGCCATGTGTGTAAATCCTGGGGCGTGGCTACGCGCAGAGGTGTGCTACACGAGGACACAGCCCGCACGCCCAAGCAGGTGTCCGTTATGCGGCTTGTCCATGGAGAGGGTTGTTCTCTCCGCTAGGTCACGGGGTGCCAGGGCAGCCAAGAGATCGGAAGCACTCCTTGGAAAACGCTTCCCTCCGGCTCCCCTGCCTGCCTGCCTCCGCGTGTGTGTGAGCACTGGGAGGTGTGAGAGCAGGCGTGTGGACGTGGGCAGGGCGTGTGTGTGTGTGTGAGCACTGGGAGGTGTGAGAGCAGGCGTGTGGACGTGGGCGGGTCCCCGTGTGTGTGAGCACTGGGAGGTGTGAGAGCAGGCGTGTGGACGTGGGCAGGGCGTGTGTGTGTGTGTGAGCACTGGGAGGTGTGAGAGCAGGCGTGTGGACGTGGGCAGGGCCCGCGTGTGTGTGTGAGCACTGGGAGGTGTGAGAGCAGGCGTGTGGACGTGGGCAGGGCCCGCGTGTGTGTGCGAGCACTGGGAGGTGTGAGAGCAGGCGTGTGGACGCGGGCAGGGCGTGTGTGTGAGCTCTGGGAGGTGTGAGAGCAGGCGTGTGGACGTGGGCGGCCCTGCGTGTGTGTGTGAGCACTGGGAGGTGTGAGAGCAGGCGTGTGGACGTGGGCAGGACCCTCGTGTGTGTGTGAGCACTGGGAGGTGTGAGAGCAGGCGTGTGGATGTGGGCAGGGCCCGTGTGTGTGAGCACTGGGAGGTGTGAGAGCAGGCGTGTGGACGTGGGCGGGTCCCCGTGTGTGTGTGTGTGTGAGCACTGGGAGGTGTGAGAGCAGGCGTGTGGACGTGGGCGGCCCTGCGTGTGTGAGCACTGGGAGGTGTGAGAGCAGGCGTGTGGACGTGGGCGGGGCGTGTGTGTGTGAGCACTGGGAGGTGTGAGAGCAGGCGTGTGGACGTGGGCAGACCCCGCTGCACACGGTGCTGAATCATAGCCTCGGAGCAGGTGTGGGGGTGCTGGGCCCTGGGGAAGGACTGCCCTGTCTTCCCTTGGCTGCTGGTTCCCTCTGTCACTTCCTCTGTAACCCTAAGTGTGAAGGCCGGAGAGCCAGGGACTGGGCAAGGACCTTGGGGAGCAGGTGCCCCACTGAAGGCCTGGGAATTGAGGGTGCTAGGGTGGGACACAGCCAGCTGGCGGGTAGTGGATTAGCCTGCAGCCCCCACGGGATGCATCCTAGAGGGCAGAGGTCGATCATGGTCGATCATGGCCCGCCTTGCCGTGGGCCCCAGGTCTCTGATCCCATGCAGCAGCGCTGGACGCTGCTTAGTCTGACTTGAGCAGATCAGCGAGAACAGGGATGAGTGAAGGGATCACACGGGGAGGTGGCATTCTGGCACTGCCCCATGGTGTTGGGCGGTGCCAGCACAACCCCACTTAGCTGCTGGCCGCTGAGGCCTGTGCACTGCCGGTTCCACTCCAGCGGTTTGAGACACCAGCGGTTACTCATGGTCCTTCCCAGTCTTGAACCCCGGATCGTTGAAGCTGAAACGGGCCTCTTCTCTTGTTCTCCCGTTTCTCTTGCACAGGTATTTGATTCTGTCCAAACCCACGCCGTGCTTCTAGATGGAGACCGGTCTGCTCTCCCCGGGGCAGCTCGCCTACTGTGCGCGTGGGCAGTCAGGGCCAAGGACGGCTGTCTTCCTGTGCAGCCAGCTCAGCCAGGATTCCCCGAGCTGCCCTTGCCTTGCCCAAGCTCTGGAGTTGTCATGAGCAGCATGAAGGGAGCTGCTGGGGTACAGCGCGGGAGCAGGGGTGCCTGGGTGTGGGTGGGGCAGCGCGTCTGAGCAGTGGAGCCTCCCACAGGGTGCCGAGCCTGCAGGTGCTATGGGGTGCTCGATGGGACACCCACTCACACTGTCTGGCCAGGGCGCTGGGGAAGGGGCCATGGCCTTAGAGAGCGGTGGGCTCCGTCGCAGACTCGGACAGCAGTGTTGGTCTGAGTTAGGGGTGGCGATGTGGCATAGTGGGCGAAGTCACAACCTGGATGCAGCATCCCACACGGGCGCCCGTTCGAGACCCGTCTGCTCCACTTCCCCTCAGCTCCCTGCTTACGGCCTGGAAAAGCAGTGGAGGATGGCCGAAGGCCTTGGGACCCTGCACCCGTGTGGAGGACCTGGGGAAGCCCTTGGCTCCTAGCTTTGGACAGGCTCGCTCCGACCAGTGTGGCCATGTGGGGAGTGAACCAATAGATGGGAGATCTTCTCTCCTTCACTCTGTAAATATGCTTTGGCAATAAAAAACTAAATCTTCAAGAAAAAAATTATAAGTTTGAGTTAAAACTGGGAAACAAATTCATTAAAAGCCGCAAGTGGGAGTCTGTTGCACCTGCACGCCTCCATGGCAGGTCAGGAGCTGGGACAGCCGCCTCTGGGGACGCCTGCACGCCTCCATGGCAGGTCAGGAGCTGGGCCAGCCGCCTCAGAGGGCACCCACGAGGCCACAGCCCCTGCCCAGCAGGTTGGAACCCCCACTCACGACCCGGGACCCTGTGTTGCAGCCATTGACCAGAGCGCCGACTGCGTGCATGTATTCCTGCTCATCTGTGGCTTGCGGCGTGTCAAAGACCCGTTGTTCCTGGTGGACGCCTTTTCAGGTGGGCCCGCATCCCCTGCCCTGTTCCTGGCACCCCCAAGGCTGGCGGGGTGGGTGCAGCCCGTTCTGCAGGGCTCCAAGAGTTTTGTGTGAGGGTGCTTGCACGTGCCAGGTGGTGTGTTGACACTTTGTTCCTGTGTTTGAATTAACCTCCGCACTCTAGAATGTTCTGGAGTCCGTTTGGAGTTCCAGGGGCAGGTTGGTCTTGGTTGTGGAGAAAGTGAGGAATCTAGGCCCGGGCAGCTGTGTAGGAAGCCCGTGCCCCGTGCCCGCCCCACACATGAGCTCTCAGGCCCGCCTGTGCCATGCCCCCGAAGTTGGCACGGGCCCTGAAGGAATGCCGAGCACTGGTTTTGTCGTGGAATAACTCCGATCTAATTGCTGTGAATTTAACACGTGGCTCTCGTTGGTTTCTTCCCAGATTGGCACCGAGACGAGGGGGACGCGTACCTGATAATTGTGGGCCCGGAAGTAAGTGTGTGTCATAGACGAGTGTGGACAAGCATGGGTCTCACGTCCATCTCCTCCGCGTGTGCCTGCGCGTGCCCCAACCCTGTCTGCTCCAAGCCTTTGGCTGTGCCCTGGGCAAAGCTGGAACACAGCGGAGAATGGACCAAGGACAAAGGTCCTTTTGACGACCCTCGCTTTACGGTCCTGCCATCGGGGTTGTTTGCTAAGAAGGACTAAGCGCCTGTGGAGCTGCAGGACAGTCAGAGGAAGCCACTGCGTGGCTGGCAGGGAGGGCGCGGCTGGCAGGGAGGGCGCTGCTGGCAGGGAGGGCGCGGCTGGCAGGGAGGGCACGGCTGGCAGGGAGGGCGCTGCTGGGCTGTGCACGAGGCACACCTCCCCGGAACGCTCTCGGCTTGCTTCACGAGCGTCCCTGGAGCCTGCTCCCAGGGAGCGGCGGCACCGACCTGTGCGGGGAAGGCTCTGGGCCCGCAGACGCACATGTTGGTGGTTTTGCCTTCATGAGGCCTGGCTGCTGGCTGGGAGGATGGCCCTGAAGCAGCAAGGGCAGGCCGGCGCACGCCACCAGCCCAGAGCCGTCCCCATGGCCATCATCACCTTCTTTTGAAGGCCGGCGGTAGCAGACACTTGTACCAATCACTGGCAGGTGGGCATTCTCTGCCTGCTTAGGCTCATGGCAGACCTCAGCAAGGCAGTTAAAGAAGCCAGGTCCATCCCAGCCCCACACGCAGCTTCCGTCACGGCTGCCAGCTGCCAGATGCTGGTGGGTAACCATGGTGCCCGTAGCCCCCAGCGGGATCCCAGGCTGCTTGGCTTCATGCACAGCATGGGCTCTGGGAGCAGCCTCCTGGACACACATTACACTGACCTCCACGCCTCCGTGTGCCCCCGTGTAAGAGCTCCGGTAATGCAACCTGCCTCATGGGCTGCTGGCACGAGGTGGGCTCCAGAGGGGCGTCCAGAGGGGCGTCGAGTGAGTGCTAAGTGTTGATGTCACCTCTCTGGCTTGAGCCAGCTTTGCCCTCCTCCGCAGGAGGGTCGGAAGTGGCTCTGGCTTCCATGCAATGTCCATCTCTGAGCGTCCGTCTCCTGCAGTCAGGCCTCCTGTGCACCTGCATGTGCAGGGGCGCTGTGTGAGCACGTGTGTGTGTGCGGGGCGCTGTGCTGGGGTGCCTTGTGAGTGTGCGGGGCGTTGTGTGAGGGGTGCCCCGTGAGGGTGCTGAGAACTGTGCTGGGGCACCTCGTGAGCATGCGGGGTGCTGTGTGAAGGGTGCCCCGTGGGTGTGCAGGGCGCTGTGTGAAGGGTGCCCCGTGTGTGTGCCGGAGCGCTGTGTGAGCACGTGTGTGGGGGGGGGGCGGTGCTGTGCTGGGGTGCCTTGTAAGTGTGTGGGGCGTTGTGTGAGGGGCACCCCGTGAGCGTGTGGGGCGCTGTGTGAGGGGTGCCCCGTCAGCGTGCGGGGCGCTGTGTGAGGGGTGCCCGTGGGTGTGCGGGGTGCTGTGTGAAGGGTGCCCCGTGGGCGTGCTGAGAACTGTACGCCTGTGGGGCAGTAGGCAGTAGTCCCTGGATCTGCGATGATTTCCCTGATGCCTGCAAGTTGAAACAATTTGTTTTTACTGGACAATAAATCAGCTTGGAAGCAGGAAATGAGAGCTTTGTGCTCCCATGCGTCTGCGTGCCACAGCGGTGGAACCCACGCTTTCGTTACGCAGAGCTGCCTGCTTACTGGCTCTGCTGCGTCTTGTTCCACCTGCAGCTCTAAGAGATGTGGAAATGAATTGGCGTGGAAGTCAGCTCCGAAAGCTGCAGCCCGTCGGCCGCAGCACACCTTAGGGAGGGGTCAGGGACCCCACCCGTCTTACAAAGCCTGCTGTGTCTTCCTTGGTGAAGTGTCTTTCCTTAACGAGTCGTGATGAAGCCTCAGACTCAGACCCTAGGGTGAAGGATTCAGACTCAGACCCCAGGGTGGGGGTGCTGCCTAGGAAGGTCCACCGCTGTGAACTCACACAACGTCCGCCACTTTCCGGGTCCCCACGTGTGCACAGGGGATGACGCCAGGAGGGGGTGACGCCAGGAGGGGGCGACGCCAGGAGGGGGCGACGCCAGGAGGGGGCGACGCCAGGAGGTTGACGCCAGGAGGACCCGTGTTGGAAGTGAGTTAAGAGCTTGAGAAGGACCTGGTGGAACATTGGCAACCAATGAACTTTCTAGAAACAACCTCAAACATCCTTACATATCCAGCTTTGATGACGGCAGAAACCAAGATGGATAATGTTGGCCTTGCCAATGCCTTGAAGGTCAGGGCGCCCACTCGGGGCCGCACACCCACACCTGCAACGTGTGCCTTCCAGAGGGAGCTGTCCCCGGAGACGCGCCCTCATCCCATGGAGCCTGGCTCTGTGTGTGCTGTCCCCGGAGACGCGCCCTCATCCCACTGAGCCTGGCTCTGTGTGTGCTGTCCCCGGAGACGCGCCCTCATCCCACGGAGCCTGGCTCTGTGTGTGCTGTCCCCGGAGACGCGCCCTCATCCCACGGAGCCTGGCTCTGTGTCCACTGTCCCCGGAGACAGGATCTTATCTGTGCCTTTGCTCAGCTTGTCTTTGTCTCTTTCCAGGTGGACCCTGTCTTCACCCAGGAAGTGAAAGCCATTGTGGACAGGTAGGGTGCTAGAAGAACAGGCCTTTGCAGAAGTGGGCACGTGGTGGGCGACATCTGTCACTGCCCTCTGCCTCCTGGGACGCCCTCCAGCTGGGCTGTGTCACCCACCCACAGCACAGGAAACAGGCACACTAAGCCAGGGGTGGTGGCCCTTCTCATTGCCTGTAAGAGGCCAGTGCAAGCCTGGGTAGGTGCAGGTGGGCACAGACCCCCCAGCTGTGACCTGTCAGTCCTGCCTGCTGGGAACGCAGGGCTCGCCCGCCATCATCTATCATTCACACACAGCCTGTTGCCACTGCAGTCTTTAAAAGTCCCTGGAACCAGGTTGGGTTCTTGGGGCACTGGGTCTGGTGGTATTTCAAAGCTGCCCTCTGTGCTGTGTGGGTGCAGGAGGAGACCAGAGGGGTTCCTGGCACCCTTCCGCTTGACCAGACGGTGGTGCGGCTGGACCGACCCTAGTTCTTATCAGTCAGTCAGTCACTGCTTGGTCACCGCCCTGCTAGGCCACCACCCCAGCCCCCTCTGTTCCTTGCCCCATGTCCTGCAGGGCCCCCGGTGTGCGGCTCATGCCAGAGCTGCCCCAGGAAGACCTGCACGCCGTGGTCAAGAACTGCCGCGCAGTGGTGAACAGCTCCGTGTCGGAGGGCATGTCGGCCGCCATCCTGGAGGTAACCCCGCCTCAGGCTCTGAAGTGGGGGTCGGGGGAGGGTGCCGCAGCGCCAACGGGATTGATTCTAGAGGCAGGCGGGAGTGCATTCGTCAACAGCGATTCGGGGACCCAAGGCGTTGAATACTGGGGTGTCCCCGGGTCACCTTGGGATGGGCCGCCTTGCCCGTGGATATGTGCAAAAGTCCTGCTTGCTAAAATGCATTTTCTGCTGATATAGTAACAAAATCGGCCTTTGGCGAGGGGCATGCATGGCCGGTGGGCGTGGCCTTGTCATGTGTGAGCCATCTCCATTAGGAACGTGTTGCTGGCACTGACTTGAACTTCATGCACATGGTGTGGGGGCTGCAGAGAAACACATAATCCTTTCAAACCTATTCCTTTGCTTTGGAAGTCAGTTACTGAGAAGGAGAACCTGCAGGGTCACTCCCCAGATGGCTCCAATGGCTAGTGCTGGGTCACAGGGAAGCCAGGAGCCGGGAGCTTCTTCCGAGTCTCTCCTGTATGTGCAGGGATGCAAGCCTTGGGCCGTGAGGTGATGCTCTCCCAGGTGTGGGCAGGAAGCTGGACCGGAAGTGGGGTGTCCGGGATTCAAACCAGCGTCCATACGGGTGGTCCTACCTGCTAACACACAGCACTATCCCTGGGAGTGTGAATGACCTTGCAATGTGCCACACTGTCCTCTGCTTGTCCCTGGTGGACTCCCAGGTGGCACACGATACAAATGTGTGTGCCATCTCAGGGCCACGTCCAGAGGAAGCACATCTCCAGGTGACACACGGAGACTGCCAGGCCTGATACGCCCATCACGCTGTCAGGACGCCTGTCAGCAGGATGACCACACTCCATGCACCTGCTCTGAGAGGCGCGGCCGTGCCCTGCCTGAGCCTGTCTGTGTGTCCAGCTGTGGCTTACTCTGCCTCCGTGCACCTGCTCCGAGAGGCACACCCATGCCCTGCCTGAGCCTGTCTGTGTGTCCAGCTGTGGCTCACTCTGCCTCCGTGCACCTGCTCTGAGAGGCGCAGCCGTGCCCTGCCTGAGCCTGTGTGTGAGTCCAGTTGGGGTTGGCCCCCCACAGGTAGAAGGACTCAGGAGGAGGACCTGAGACATGCAGGGGCTAAGCCACCACCCAGCGTGCCAACATCATATACCAGAGTGCCAGGCATAGGATGCCTCCACTTCTGATGCAGCTCCCGTTGTTGTCCCCCCTCCCCCCAGTGCTGATGGCTGTCACGTTCAGGTCCCCTCCACCCACCTGGGTGACCCAGATGGAGTCCCAGGTTCCTGGCTGTGTCCTGGCCCAGCCCCAGCTCTGGGGACTCTGGAGAGTGAACAGACAAATGAAAGATACGTCTGTCCTCTTTGTCGCTCTGCTTCTCAAATGCATAAAATTGAATAAACATTAAAAGCATCATGAAAAATATGTCTGTAGTACAAATCACATTAGCAGTTTGCTGGTATTCTGCACCTGGGTTGTGGGGGTGTCCCATCTGTGGGAGCTGTAGGGGTGTCCTGGGCTATGGGGGTGTCCTGGGCTGTGGGGGTGTCCTGAGCTGTGGGGGTGTCCCATCTGTGGGAGCTGTAGGGGTGTCCTGAGCTGTGGGGGTGTCCTGGGCTGTGGGAGCATCCTGAGCTGAAGGAGCATCCCGGGCTGTGGGAGCGTCCCGGGCTGTGGGAGCATCCTGAGCTGAAGGAGCATCCCGGGCTGTGTCCATCTCACGCAGAAGCAGGATTGGCCCAGGTGGGACACTCCCCAGGCGGGCCAAAGCAACCCCTTGGAGGAGCTGGCTGCAGCCTAGGCCTCTAGGGGTTGGGCTCCCCCAGGGGGAGTCAGGGAAAGGCCACCCTGCCAGGCAGGGGAGATGGTTCCCGCAGGAAGTGCTCCCGGCTGTCTTCCCGCAGCTCTGAGTCTCAGGAGTGCTCTGTGCCCGCAGCAGGGGGAGCCGGCACTGCCTCTGACCAGGCCTCACTCGGTGATCCCCCTGCTGTCCCCTCAGGCCATGGATTTGGAAGTCCCGGTGTTGGCCAGGAACATCCCTGGGAACGCGGCCCTGGTGAAGCACGGGGTGACAGGCCTGCTGTTTTCAGATCCTGAGGTAAGGCTGCACCATGCCCCCCTGTTCCTCTGCTCTGAGGGGCGGGCTCTGTGAGTGAAATTACATGGGCAGGAAGCAGGCCCTGCTGTGTGTGTGTGTGTGTGTGTGTGTGTGTGTGTGTGTGTGTGTGTGTGTAGCTGACAGGAAGGCCCTGCTGCGTGTGTGTGTGTGTGTGTGTGTGTGTGTGTGTGTGTGTGCGTGCAGCTGACAGGAAGGCCCTGCTGCGTGTGTGTGTGTGTGTGTGTGTGTGTGTGTGTGTGTGTGTGCAGCTGACAGGAAGGCCCTGCTGCGTGTGTGTGTGCATCTTTAGTTGACACAGGAATCTCACACGTGTGTTACTACTGGGCGCTGGGTGCCCCTTATTCAGGTAGAGGTGGCATGTGTGTGCCCACAAAGGCGTATGTGCCACCTTGTGGTCTCACCTCGGCTGCGGCCAGTCAAGCTCTTGACTTCTCATAGCACGTGAGATGGAGCCCCGTGCTGCCCTCCCAGACATGTTAGCAGGGAGCAGGTTGGGAAGTGGAGCGGCCGGGCTTGGGCTGGCCTGCGGATAGAGTGTGGCGTGCCGGCTTAGCCACTGCCCCAGCCCACTTGACAGATGAAAAGGCGACAGGCCGAATGCGTTCTGGTGATCCACCTCGTGGAACCCAACCCGTGCAAGTCTGTGTCATCTCTAGCTGTAAATACACAGGACACTGGACGAACGCCGAACTGCTCACACAACACCCAAGAGCCCACGGTGATTCATCTTTCATGGAGACCGAGTTTTTCTGGGCACAGCTGGCCATCAGGACCGTCCCATCCTGCATCCGTGGGGACGGACAATGGGACATTGCCAACGTTCACCTGTGCTAGTCACGTCCAGTGACCCTGCGTGTGATGGTTTGCACGACAGCCCAGCTGGCCAAGCCTGGGGCGCTCACTCGGGCTGTGACACGCGAGGAGGCCCCTGGCTCCTCGACTTCAGCGAGCGGACTTGACCTGCGGAGTCTCGTGTGCAGGTCCGCCTTCACGGCTCATGACGTCCATTCATCCCTGTGGTTCTGACGAGGTTTGGTTTGAATTTGATTCTCTCAAACACCAATGACTGAAGTGTGGTCCGGGACGGCTGCCGGGGAGGGCAGTCAAGCTCTGTCCGCCGTTCCAGAGAGCAGGTCCCAGGTCCTCCCCCGGCCAGGCCTGGCACAGGGCAGGTCCTCCCCACGGCCAGGCCTGGCACAACAGGGCAGGTCCTCCCCCGGCCAGGCCTGGCACAACAGGGCAGGTCCTCCCCCGGCCAGGCCTGGCACAACAGGGCAGGTCCTCCCCCGGCCAGGCCTGGCACAACAGGGCAGGTCCTCCCCCAGCCAGGCCTGGCACAACAGGGCAGGTCCTCCCCGGCCAGGCCTGGCACAGGGGCCTTTTGCAGTGGCCCCCTGCCCTCAGCAGGTGGCGCTCTTGTGCCGTGGGCCCTAGGCTTCTCGGCTCCCCCTCTCCGGTTTGGGGAGCAGAGGCTGCGCTTGTGTGGGCACCATATTCAGCTCCGATGATCTTTCTCCCCACTAGCTGTGCCCGTCTTCCGGGCAGAAGGACTTCCAGGGACATCCTGTCCTGGGTCCTGGCCGGGCATGGCGGGGCCCAGGGAGGCAGAAGGCAAGCCTGTGGTTACCCCAAGAGCCTCGGCTTGGTGAGGCTGCAGCAGGCCTGAGCCACCAGGTGGGGCTCCGGGCGCTGCCATGTGGAGGAATGCCTCCGGAGCTCCTGGCACGCGGGCCCAGGCTCTGTAGGTCTGGCTTGTCCGAGGACTTGAGCAAGGAGCCCACGCAGAAGCAGGGCCTGATGCGAAGCCACAGATGCTGGAGGGACTGCCAGCAGGAGCACCCATCATCTGCAGCCAGGGAGCGTCCAGGCTAGGTGGACGGAGGGGTGCCAGAGGGCAAAACGAAGACACGCAGGGGACTCAGGCCCAGAACTGGGGCCTAGAGCTTCCCACGGCATCCAATGCCACCAGCAAAGAGAAGGCATTGTCTGTGCCCAACGGGGGCGACACCACCAACGTGGCAGCGAGCAGTGGGGGCAGATGGCATGGTGCAGCGTGTGGAAGCCAGTCTGTCTCGGGGAGCAGGTGGCGACCAGGGGGAAAGCGTGAATTCCTCATCATCACGAAGGAATGAGGCAGCAGCTTGGCGGGTCGGGAAGCAGCCATGAGGCTCTGCAGGAACGGTCACGCCAGTGTGTGTGTGTGTGTGAGATGTACTGGGCACTAACTTGTGTGTGAGTGACCCATTGTGTGTGCACGTCTTGTTATGTGCACACGAATGCGTGTAGGTCCCTGTGCCTGTGTGTGAGCTCACGTATGTACAAGTGTGACATCTTGCTCCCATTGCTTGCATCAACTCCCAACCCTCCAAAAAATGTGTCTCCAGGCTCTGGGCGCGGTCAGGGGACCAGCCCAGGAGCTCACGCAGCCCCCATCCCCGGTGCAGGAGTTCGTTCAGCTGGCCCAGAGACTGCTCAGTGACCCCGCCCTGGAGAAGGAGCTCGTGGCCAACGGCAAGGAGTACGTGAGGCTGTGCCACTCGTGGAAGGCGGAAAGGGACGTGTACCGACACCTCGTCGGCAAGCTGGAGGGGAACAGCGAGGAGTGAGGGGACAGCCTTGCCCCCCGCCACCGGCCGCCCGGCCCCGGGCCGTCCTCGCCTCGCGGTCCTTGGGGTGCAGGTTCACACCAGCTCATGTGGGAGGAGCACAGTGGTTAGCCCCAGGGGCTCGGGGAGGAACAGGGGACCGCCTTGGGACTGTGGCGTGGGCACTGGGCTCCTCAAGCAATCCCATGCAGACCCCTAGCTCGCATTCTGAGGCGGGAGACGCCCATCACTGCCAGATCAAAAAGCAAAACTGACCTTGGGCACGGCAGCTGAGTGGAGCTGTTTGCGTTTGTCACTGACTTTGAGGCCCGGATCCCCAGGATGGCGACTCTGGGTCCCACGTGGGTCCTTCCCTGCAGGTGATCACCCAGTGGCTTTGAGGGGGACTCATCTCTGGGTGCCAAAGCTGCCCCCAGGTTGGCCTGGTGGTTCTGGCAACAGCAGCTGGGCCCCTCAGCACGGAAGTCATCCCTCTGATGGCCAAGTCTGCCTAGGGGAATCTCCAGGAATGACTGGTCCTGGCTCTCCAACAAGCGTGGGTCACAGCGTGTGGGCAGGGACGTGCCCTGATGCCCCCTGCCGGTCGGAAAGCAGTGGCAGAGTGCAGGTGGCAGGTGCCTCCTTCAAGCACACGTGCAGCTCCCCGGGCAAGGGGGGCCATCCTCGCTCTGGCTGCACGACTGGGCGGGGAGATGCTGAGCCTGGAGTTGACCAGACCCTAAGCCGGGCAGCCCAGGCCCTGTGTGGTCGGGGCCACTGGGGCTGGCCACGTGGTAAGTCTGCAGACACCCCGCCTCCTCACCATTAAGCTGCATCCTGAGGTGAAGATGGGAAGGGTGGGTCTGTTGGTTAATAAACCAAGTCCCAGTCAGCTCTCTGTGCTGCACTGTCTGTGCTGGAGGGGCAGGGAGAAGGGGGTGGACAGGTGGGACCGAGTGCCCCTGGGAGGCCCCTTCCTCCTGACCTGCCCCCTTCTCACAGCAGCAGCAGGAGTCGGCCCTGGGCAGCATCCTGGGACCCCCACCTGGCTGCACGGCCTGGGGGTGCAGTTCACTGCTCCTGAACCTGGGAACTCGCAAACGCCGCAGAGCCCCGCCTTCCAGCAGAAAAGTGGTATCATCTGCCCCCCCTCTGGCCCACCTCCTGTCCCAAGGCGAGTGGCGTGTGTGTGCGTGTGTGTGTGTGTGTGTGTGTGTGAGAGAGAGGGAGTGAGCTCCCCCTTGGGGCGCACACATTTGACCCAGGAGTCAGGGTTTGACTCCAGTCATCGGAGCGTGCGGTAAGGGTCTGGTGTGGTGGCAGAGCGGGTTAAGGTGCCTCCGGCAGCACCAGCATCCCACATGGGCCATGGTCATAGTCCCAGCTGCTCCACTTCCATCTCGTTTCCTGCCTGTGACCTGGGAAAGCAGTGGAGAACGGCTCAGGCCCCTGCACCCTAATGGGAAAGCCGAAGGTGGCCCCTGACCAGTCCAGCTTCGGCCAGTGCGGCCATCGGGGAGTAAACCAGCAGATTGAAGATGTTTCTGTAACTGCCTTTCAAAAAAAGTAAATCTTAAAAAAGAAAGAAAAGAAGGACCTTAGGGACAGCTGCGGGGCGCTGGCCAGCACTGGGTCTGCCATCTGGGCTCCTAGGGTGCCGTGGAGGGCACATTGGCCCGTGGGAGCTTTGGGAAGCTCCCCAGGCTGAGTCTGAGAACAGCGCTTGGGTAAGCACGGTTGCCCTGGGCCGGCCCGTTTCCCAGGCTGCTCTGCCCCGAGCCGTGCCCTGGGTCTGTAGCGGGATTGTCCTCGGCTCCCGGGGGCTGAGCTGTACTGCTCTCTCACTGTCTGAATGGTGTCTGTGTATCGCTCATCAGGTAGCTGACGTGCAGGCTTGATAATGGCTTAAAGTTGCATTTATTTGTTGGAAAGCCCACGTAATCGAGAGACCTCCCGTCCTCTGGTTTCCCACCTCCGCCTTACTCCACGCACCACAGCCGCAGGGGTGAGGCAGGCTGGCTACAGCAGTTGGAACACTGGTCAGGTGCTTCCTGCGTCCTGTGCCCCAGGGAGCAGGAGGGCAAGCCGACATCCCAGGGTGGGATGCGTGAGCCCCGAGCCGAGCGTGTGTCACGGGCAGCTGGAGCAGGCGCAGTGGCTGGGCACAGCAGATACTCCTGTCAGAGGGGGACTTGCAGGGGCTGCTGTCACAGACGTGTGTCCAGTGTTGCAACGAGTCACCTTCATCACCAAGTAGGACCACAGGAGGGGGAGAGCGCCACCTGCAGGGCTTCCAGGGTGAGACGCACGGCTGGGGGCAGCATCCATCCGGGAGGAATTTCATCGCCGCTTGTGTTGGAAAGAGATAGGTCTACTTCTGCGTTCAGACCCCTGCGTCGTCCGACATCCAGACACGGAGCAACGCTTTTCCACATTGGCTTAGGTATGAAAGACTTCTCGGGAGCGAAAAACCCAAACCGGACAGTGGCCGTGGCCCCTGGAGGCTCCGGCCAGCATTGTGGGAGCATGCGCGACTCCCCCCACGTTACTGCGGCAGCCGGCAGCTCTCGGAGTCACAGCCCAGGCCGCAGCCGGCACTGCTCCTGCCCCTGATTCTGGTCAGCTCAGAATGCAAAGATTAGCTCTGCAGGCGGCCCCCAGATGGAACGCCGGCACCCGTGTTTGCCTGTGACAAGCCCAGCATGACCACTCCGTATTTCCAGTCTGTCCCACCCCACCCGGGGTACAGCGCTTGTGGAGGTGGACTCTGCAGCTCCCCCACCCCAGGCCCAGCCTGAGCCCACCCTGGGGCCCCCTGTGTCACCCAGCTCCCCTCAGCCGTCCCCGCAGAACCCTGCTCCCCACAGCATCACGGGATGTCCTTTTCCTGAAGAAGCCTGCCCAGATCTGGAACCCGGTCTCTGTCGGCTGGTGGCACCTTATCCCCCGTGTCAGCTGTCCCCTAAGTATCTGAGTTTTCACAGGGATCAGACTGGAGCTCAGCCAAGATCGGAGCCCCCACACCCTGCCATGTGGGACCTGCCTGGTCACGTGCGGCACATACGGGCTGCTGATGGCCAGGAAGCAGCACCAAGAGGGGATTGCAATCCTTGGGTCTTCAACACAACATGCTATTTTCTTTTTTTTAAAAAGAATGCATTCAGTAATCCAAAACTGGTGACTCTTTGGATGTACCCCCTAAGTGCGATCCAGCTGCTGACTCGGGGGGCTGAGGGAGACGCAGACACACAGACGCGCACGGGGCTGGTCCACGCTGTCCCTTAACTGCACTGTGGGCCGTGTCCACGCTGTCCCTTAACTGCACTGTGGGCCGTGTCCACGCTGTCCCTTAACTGCACTGTGGGCCGTGTCCATGCTGTCCCTTAATTACACTGTGGGCCGTGTCCACGCTGTCCCTTAACTGCACTGTGGGCCGTGTCCATGCTGTCCCTTAACTGCACTGTGGGCCGTGTCCACGCTGTCCCTTAACTGCTCCGTGGGCCGTGTCCACGCTGTCCCTTAACTGCTCCATGGGCCGTGTCTATACAACACAACTCGGCTGCAGGGCTGAGGGTGAGCCACGGTGTGCCGTGAGCGGCCTCAGCAGAGGCTCCCGGAGGGTGTGGGTGCCATGCAGGGCTGTGTTCTCCAGGTTTCTGAATCCTAGTGGCCAGGGAAGGCGGCGCGCTGCTCGCTGCTCGCTGCTCCTCACGCAGACAGCTTGCACTTGAGTAACCACTTCTCTGGACAAAGCTCCTTTCTCGTGTAAGCCTAATCCAATCAAGTCGCCGCAGATACATGGCAGTGTCTGAGCCGTTTTCAGAGATGACGCGGCTGCAGTGGGCCCCGGGGAAATCAGCCAGGGTGCAGTCACTCCTCGGTGGGCCCCGTGACCGGCAGTGTGTGAGCGTGCAGTTGGGCCCCTCTGGGCACACGCAGGCGCTCCCAGCCCTCATTCGCATGGATCCTGGAAAGCCACTGGGTCCTGCCTCCTTCAGCGGGCTGTTCAGACCCGTCTTCCAGATCTCCTGCCCAGGCCCCCGTGTCCTGGTAAGGAAGGGCACTTGGACCTATCTCTTGGCATTGTGAGCTATTCTGGCACCCGTGATGCATCCACTCACTCACCCATCCACCCACCTTAACCCTATATTCACCCATCCATGCACCCACTCACTTCTCCACTCACCCACCCATCCATTCCTCCACTCATAGATGCACTGAATCCATCCAATTACCCTGACATCCAAACACCCAGTCATCATTCTAGAAAGTTCATTGATTGCTGACTCTATTTGAGGGGATCTGAGCATGAAGAAGAGAATAGATCGGTCTTGTTCTTTACTCTCCTGTGCCCTTGATTCTGCCAAAATGGAATCTAACCAGCAGGGAAGCCAAGACCAGAAGACCCAGGGAGCACCAGGCCCAGCCCCGGGAGCACCAGGCCCAGCCCCGGGAGCACCAGGCTCAGCCCTGGGAGCACCAGGCCCAGCCCCGGGAGCACCAGGCTCAGCTCCAGGAGCACCAGGCCCAGCCCCGGGAGCACCAGGCCCAGCCCCGGGAGCACCAGGCTCAGCCCTGGGAGCACCAGGCTCAGCTCCAGGAGCACCAGACCCAGCCCAGGGAGCACCAGGCCCAGCCCCGGGAGCACCAGGCTCAGCTCCGGGAGCACCAGGCCCAGCCCAGGGAGCACCAGGCCCAGCCCAGGGAGCACCAGGCTCAGCCCCGGGAGCACCAGGCTCAGCCCCGGGAGCACCAGGCCCAGCCCAGGGAGCACCAGACTCAGCTCAAGGAGCACCAGGCTCAGTCCAGCCTCTGGAAGCTGCCAAATGACCAACGTGGCCATGGCACTTCCAGTCTTTTGGCATAGTTTTGGGTCAGGATCCACTTCATGCCAGGAAACGCCGGTATGAATCGCTCAGGTCTGCCACTCAAGGAGGTGGTGGTGTCGCAGAAAATGCTGACCCTCCCTGTCCCTCAGCACAGCCTTGCTCTCCAGGCTTCAGAGTCATCCTGGAATTCTAGAAGGCAAAACTTGTGTGAACAGAGTTGGGGTCAGGAGGCAGCAAAGTCGAAAGGAGAGAGGCGGGAGACCCACATGTGTTTGCTCAGACTTGACCCTGACTTTGCCTTGGAGGTCCACTCTGAGTCCCCGCCTTGCCCATGGCTTAGGGGAGGCATTCTCCCCTTGCTCTCCCAGAGTCCACAGCAGCAGCATGCCCAGCATGTGTGGCCCAGCAGGACCCCTGCCCTGGCTCCACGCAGGATCAGAGCCCTGCCCCGCAGAGCGTGGATGGGCCAGGAGGCGTGCCGACTCCGCCCCTCCCGCCCCTTACACCCCACTTGTGGGTGGACACACTGCAGGCAGAAATGTTCCAGTAGACCAGGAGGATTAGCCCTGGGGGGAGGAGACCCCACCCTGCATGGACGAGGTCCCTTCCCTGAACCCGTCTCTCTCCACTAGGTCCCAGCCCCATGGGCAACCCTCTTCTAGCTGCAGCATGGGTCAGGGTTCAGTAAGAGCACATCACATCTTTGAGTTTTTCCTGCCGGCTTCATCCCTCTTGGGCTGTCTGCAGGTCATGTGTCATGCCCCCCACCCGGCTGTGAGGCCTCTGTGCCAGGTGGCCTCTGACCTCGCCGTGCCGCCTTGCGCACTCACGTGGCTCCAAGCCCTGACGGGTGCAGGAGCACGCAAGAACCCCTGAGCTGCCCCCTAGTGGCAGTGCTGGCAGCTGAAGCTGTACCTTGGGGAAGCCAGCCCAGAGTCTGGGTGCAGGCCCCGGGGGAGGGCCATCAGCAGGGAGCCTGGGGTGCCCGTTGGCCTACTGCCAGTTGGCACATTTCAGGAGGGAACCCACAAATGCTTTCCATCTTGGAGGGGAGACGCTGGTACATAGTGCGTTAACTCCGCACACCCCCAGCCCCTACACGTTCCCACCCATCTGGTCCCCCTCCCTGTTCCCCACCACAGACTGCACCAAGCCAGGACCTGCCTGGGCTCCTCTGGGCTCCTCTGAAGGCTGTGCCTGCATTCACAAGGCCCTTGGCCACCGACAGACAGCAGCCTGAGGACAGGGTCCCCGTAAAGAAGGAGGAAGGACAGCTAGCAGCCCATGAATGTAAACTTGATACTTTGAGCAGAGTTTATAAATCTGTGTTACAGTCGGACAGCTCTGGAGCATCCTGCACATGAACAGGTGGTGGCCGCCACCAGGGAAACCGAGTTCAGGGGTGCCAGTGGGAAGCTGGGAGACTTCTGGGAGCTGAGGATTGTCACTCAGCAGGGGTGACGGCTCGGTGACACAGCTGACCCCAGTGGGCTGGCTGGGAGATGGAGCAGGTGACGGAGCCACCAGGAGAGTCCCAGGCTCGGCCGAGGTGGGAGAGGCTGCAGTTGGAGGGGTGAGCGGGCGGGGGTTACAAACTAAAACTCGGGAGGTGGGGGAAAGAGGAGAGAAGGAGGAGGGGAGGAGAAACGGGGAGGGGTGGAGGGAGAGGGGGAGAGAGGAGGACGGGGCAGGGGACAGGGAGGGGGAGAAGAGAGGGGAAGGCAGAGTGGGAGAGGGGAGGAAGGACTGGGGGGAGAAGCGGGGAGAGGGGAAGGGGCAGGGAGGGAGGGGTGGTGGCGAGAGGGAGGAAGAGGCCACCACGGATTCGGAGAGAGAGGGACAGGAAAAGCGACCTAGAGAGGAGGGAGGTGACGCAGAGGCAGACAGAAGTGGCAGACAGCCCCTGCCCCATCCCACCCTGCCCAGGGTCCCTGCAGGCGGCAGTCAGCAGGTGTGTGCAGCATGGGGCGGAGTCCTCCAGGCCCTCTGCCCACTAGGAGCCGCGCTGGCCGGGCCGGGCGAACGTCCCGTGCATCTCCCAGCAGTAGGACGCCTTCCTCCTTGTCTCCTTGCTGCTGTCCAGGTGTGGGGACAGGCTCGCCCCAACCCCTGCGGCCTCTCACACACCACAGGGCACCCCGGCTTGCTCAGGCGCTTCACCTGAGCACTGGCCAAGGAGTCCCCTCCTCGCTCAGGACGCACAGCCCGTGGGGCCAACATTGCCCTAACTTGCACCAACCTGGCAAAGTGCAGCTCACCAGGGCGAGCTTTAATGGGCAGAGCTGTGGGCATAGATCCAGCCGAGGGGAAGAGAGACACTCGAGCAACGAGGAGCCGCACACTGGGCCCCTGCCAGTGGCTTGGGGGAGATGGTACCCTGTGCCAGGCCCCTGCCAGTGGCTTGGGGGAGGTGGTACCCTGTGCCAGGCCCCTGCCAGTGGCTTGGGGGAGGTGGTACCCTGTGCCAGGCCCCTGCCAGTGACTTGGGAGAGGCGGGGGTGGGGAGGTTGGCACACTCACACCAGCAGGGCTGCTGTACAAAGCCTGTCTCCCTGACCCTGCTTGGAAGGCTCTGCCCTCGGCTCTGGCCAGCGGCATGTTCTTGAGCCTTCCGGTTCTGGTTGCAGTCCCAGGAAACTGGATGGCCTTGGCCCTGCGCCGAGGAGTGGCCATGGACAAGGGCGCCTGCTTGGCTTGCCCCTGCAGCTCTGGACTCTGATAGGAGCACGCTTGCTGGGACCAAGGCCACTGCTGTGTGTGCCCCAGGACACACCTGCGCCCAGGTCCTGGAAGCTGCGGCCCCAGCAGGTAGCAGCGTCCGGACTGCTCTGATGGGAGCCGGAGCCAATCTTCCCCGGGAGCCTGCCACTTCAGAGCCGGCTTCGCTGCAGGTCTGAGCACTCTCTCCGCTCAGGACAAGCCCGATGTGGGAACAGCACTGAGCCTCCTGGGCTCTGGACAGGCTCATTTCCTGGGGCCTCCCCTGCATCCTGCCCCTTCCCGTCTCTCCCACGTGCAACCCCCGCCACACACATCTCAGGATTAAAGGCCGAAAGGTGAATGAGAACAGAAGTCAGAGCGTGCCCAGCTCACACGCCTTCCCGTGACTCTGCTGTGTGGCCGTGCAACTGCAGCCCTTGCCCGGGGCCCAGGTCCTGGCAGCCCCACTTGACGTCCTCGCTGTGCGTCCCCAGAGGGCTGCTGCCACCTGTGACAGGGATGGCCGTGAACGTGGTGAACGTCACCCGTTTCCTCTTGGAGGTGGGCGATGTGGGGGGCTCGCCTTGCTCCTTGCCGGGGCCAAGGCTGAGGCTGGGGGCTGCGGGCTGGAGCAGCTGCCCATTGAGGCCCCCCTTCTGGGGGTCTGTGCTCAGCAGGTACTTGCTCTCCTCCAGGTCCACGCCCTGGTCGACGCATGTCACCTGCTCCTCCGGGGAGGAGGCCAGGGGGCCCTGACTGTCCAGCAGCTCGGTCCGCTGGCTCAGGCCCACCCAGTCGTGCGAGTGGCTCAGCCCTTCCTGCTCCTCAAAGGGCACCTGCTTGTGCCGGTACTTGAGGGTGAAGGTGGCACAGTTGATGAGGAAGACGAGGATGGCGAGGCAGAAGACGCCCAGCAGTGCGTACATGCCGATCTCCAGGTCGCTCAGGCCCTTGGAGGCGTGCGCAGCATCGCTCTCGTCCATGGCTGTGCTGTCCCCTGGGAGGTCCCCCTGGTCTGGGAAGCCTGGGAGAACAGTGGGGAGGGCCCAGCCGGGGCCGTTGTCATCCAGGGGGCTCCCCGGTCCGCGCTCCTTCCAGAAGGCGGCCCTCTCGGTGGTGGCAGCCCTGCCTTCCTTGAGCCCCCTGGACGAGCTGCCAGGGGACGGCCCTCCTGGCCTCCCCGCTTCCTGCTGGTGTCTTCCGGGGTTCCTGTCGCTGACACTGCTCTCCATGTGGGCCCCTGTCCCTGGGGGCCCGCTGTTGCTACTGTTGGGGGTGGCGTCATTTTGGCCGAATTTCACCGTGATGTGTGCGGCCCCTGTGGCGAGCACGCTCTTCCGTTTGGACTTCTGGCATGGCTCGCTGATGGCGAGCTCCACCCTCACCAGGGCACCCTGGCCTTCCGCCTCGGCCGCGATGACCGGCCACTTGAGCTTGGGGTCTTGGTGGATGGAAACCACTTTCTCGTCCAGGGACATGGCCATCAGGGAGAAGTCCTTCCCATCGTAAATGTCCAAGGGGGTGACGGAACCGTCGCTGAACTGAACCCAGCAGCTGATGGCAGCTTCCTGTGGAGTAAAATCCATCAGTCAGCCAGCGGGTGGCGTGGGAACAAGGGTGAGCGTCCCCCAGTGTGGGGGCGACACAGCGGGCCACGCCATGCAGTGCCAGGGCCGAGTGCCCTGACAGATCTGCTCTCTCCCCTGGAGGTGACTGGGGGTGGGGCTGGGCAGCGCCCACCCGGCAGAGCCAGCAGAGCCCAGGCGGCAGGGACCGGTCAACATAAACCCTGACCCCTTGCTCATGGTCGGTTTGAATTCGGAGTCCTCTCTTCTGCAAAGAAGCTCAGCCAGGGCTGTGGCCTCCTGGCATCCCCCAGGTGAGCGGTGGGACCCTTCCCAAGGGGCACACGGGGTACTGGTGGCCGCTGACCACCGTCCTCTGTGGTTAAGGCTTGCTCCTGGGTGGGGGGACATCTCCCACCTTCACAAATGCGCATGTGCAGCCCCTCTTGGTTTGCATAAACACACACACGACAGCACACAGGCTTGTAGGCACATACAAGGTGCTTCCAACACCTCACGCAAGTGTGCCCTGAATTCTGTGGGAATGTCCATCCATGTTGTCCTGTCATGAGCACGGACAGAACCATGCCTGCTCACGGCACACGGTCACACACACGAGGGCTTCAGGAAAGGGTGACACAGTTGATACGCTGGGGGGTCCTGGTTTGTGTCTGGAGCCAATCCTTCGATGTAAACCCCACAAGGTTTAGCAGCGGGCCCAGGCTGGCCACGCAGCCACTGCCCCCTCCCACGCCCCACCTCGTCACCTGCTTGGGCCTCTGCAGTAGCTCCTGGGCCACCGTGGTGGCGAAGATGGCTCTGTTGCTCCCCGGGCTGAGCTGCAAGGACAGTGACAGCCCCGTGACCAGCTGCACTCCAAGGTCTGTGACGGTCACCCTGTCGTCCAGCACAGTGACCGTCTTCTCAGCCAGGATGGCATCTGACAAAGGCGACAGGATCTGGGGGGCAGAAGCAGAGGGACAGGGAGAGACTTTAGGAAGTGCTAGCAGGTCCCTGTCAGCGCAGGGGTGCAGGGGGAGCGGGGAGCCCCCAGTGCCAGCACAGGGGCAGGGCAGGGCAGGGCAGGGCAGGGTGCTGGGGTGGAGTGGGGAGCCCCCCAGTGCCAGCACCAGTGCCAGCCTTGGCCCAATGCAATGCACAGTGGGACTGACATGGCAGCCAGATGGGGCGGGTGGGTGTGGCTTGGAGAACCCCCGTTAGGAGGGCTGCAGAGTCTCATGCATTTCAGAACAAGCTACGCATTTCCTGCACAGCACCAGCCACTCCTACTGTGTGCTTCCCTTGAAATTATTTTACTTAAATGACTTGTTTTTCCGTTGTTTGCAAGGTTTATTTATCTATTTGAAAGGCAGAATTCCAGAGAGAGGGAAGGAGAGAGGGAGCAAGGAAGGAGGGGGAAAGGCCCCCGTGCGTGCTCAGACCTGCTCTCCCGATGGCCGTAAAGCCCGGGCCAAGCCAGGAGCCAGGCTCTGCATCCAGGCCCCCTCAGGGCTTCCTCTCCAGACACTGGCCCGCAGGCAGCTGCAGCTCTCCCACCACCTTACCCTGTGTGGCAGCCACAGGCTCCTGTCTGCCCACGCACGCGGCTTCCTGGGCCAGAGTAACACTTCACAGGAGGACGAATGACCCTTACATCTAAAGGCTTCCCATAGGAACAGAGACGTCTGGCTGCCCTGGGCACACAGCCCAGCGGAGTCTCCCCCTTAGCCCCGTGACCTGCCTCTTCCAGCCCAGGCCACCTGTGCTCCTCCTGACTCTGCCTTCTTGGGCCTTGGGGTCCCTGTGCGTAGGAGCGCTCAGACACAGCCCAAGCCCGTGGAGTTTCTCCCTGAAATGCAGTGGCCCCTCTTCTACTCTGGCCAGATTTTCCTCCTCCGGCTGCGACAGGAGGCTCGGGGAAGGCCTGCATGGGCAGGTTCCAAGCGGTGGTCTCTGTCTGTCCCCAGACCACACTTAGGGTGGTCCTGGATCAGAATGAGCTCAATGTTGACAGCACTTCCACCCCGTGTGTCCTGGGGCCATCTTCCCTCAGAAGGGAGGCTGGGACCTGAGCAAGTAGCATGAGCTTCCAGGGAGGCGGGGGAGAAGGTTCTGCAGTGACAACATGTGTGTAAGATGGGCGGCTGAGGGGCAGCTGGCTTCCTTCCCGAGCGTGTGTCCCATGATGGCAGCAGCTTGGACGAGAAGGTGTTCCCAGCTGAAGCCCAGGGCTCCCAATGGGGGTGCCACGCGGGGACAACAGTGCCCACCTCATCACCACACTGCTTTTGCAGCTACTTAGCAACCTTGGCACATTTCCTCCAGGCAAGGGCAGCCTGCTGCCTGCCCAGCCTGCAGACCACGGGAGCCTTCTCACCTGGAGGGTAGTCATGCCCAGCTCCTGCCCGACCAGGATCTGTCCTCCCCGCAGCATGGCCACCCTGGGCTCCTCCACCTGCATGAAGCTGCCGGTGAGCTCCGTGATGTCCACTTGCCAGTCTGAGCCCAGCAGGTGAGCCACCTGCCCGCCAGGACCCGCCGCCTCGGCCACGAACTGCGTCAAGACCCGCACCATGGCGTGCTGGTACTGGAGGGTGCAGCCCCGGCCCCTTCTCTCCTCATCTTCCTCTTCCTCGCTGTCCCCAGCTGGCCTGGCAAAAAGGCAATGCAGTTAGCCACCAGCCCCTGGGGCTGCAGCCCATGCACCCAGCCCCGCGAAGTGGCCGGCATACACAGACATTAGGCAGCACGGAGTCTGCACGTGGGGCCTGGGTGCCAGCCGAACGGAACGGTTCAGTGTGTGTGTGGTCGGCAGAGGGCCACCTGCTCCCAGCAGCCCTGCTTCCCAGAACTCATCTGTGCCTCTCTCACTCAGTGACTGGAAAAGATGGCGGTAGGGGTGACTGGACTATTGCTCCCACCATCAGGTGACCCAAGACTTCTGCTCCATCCTTGGTTCTCCGGGTCCTGCTCAATGAAGGGAGCTGCCTCTATGGACAGCACACGCCAAAGACTGGGTGTTGTCTCTGACCAACAGGCAAGGGGGAGCTGGGGCTCTTGGTGTGACAGTCGCTGGGGAGCCAGGGCCCTTGAGCTGATGGCCAGTGGCCAGTGGGGAGCCAACAAGGAGCCAGGCCCTTGGTCTGTTTGTCAGAGAGGGCAGGACCTTCAGCCCATCAGCCAGCAAGGAGCTGCCATTTGCCAACAGCCTTGTCGACTGTAGCGATGTGGAGCCCCTCCTCCCTCAGGTGAGACCACAGCCTGGTCAGGCACTGCGGGAGGATGAGCCGGCCACAGGTGGACAAGCCAGAGAGGCCGCCCAACTCGGGCAGATCTGCTCCCATGTCTTTCCATGTCAGCCCCTGAAGCAGCCCACCGTGGCTGAAGCAGGGCTGGCCGCTCATGCCAGCGACTCCAGCTGCAGCTGAGGTCATGGCGGAGGCCTGGTCAGTCCCTCCTGTGCTCTGCCCACGTGGCTGCAGCAAGTGGGTTGGGGTGGACACTTGCGACCAGGTGAGGCACTTGGTCCCTGAGCTGCAGAGTGGGTCGAAAGCAGGGTGTGAGCCTCACAGGGAAGCTGTCCCAGAGAAAAGCAGCTGCGAGAGCCAGCCGCATGAAGCAGGCTGCCTGGAGCAGCCTTGCCGAGCCCTGCCCTGCCCTGCCCTGCCCTGCTGAGCCCTGCCCTGCCCTGTCCTGCCAGGCCCTGCCCTGCCCTGCCCTGCCGAGCCCTGCCCTGCCCTGCCCTGCCCTGCCCTGCCGAGCCCTGCCCTGCCCTGCCCTGCCCTGCCCTGCCGAGCCCCCGGGAGCACAAGGACAGGCCCACCCACCTTTTGTTGGAGACGATGGGCACCCTCCAGCCCTTGATCTGACTCAGCTCTGTGTCTGAGACCTCGATGTGCAGGGGCAGCCGGGGCGCCCACACGGTCACATGCAGCGGGGCACTCAGGTGCTGGTAGGTGAAGTTCACCGCCACGTCCACCTTGCCTTTTGTCTCCTTGCCGTTGACGAAGACGTGGTCACATCTGTCAGAGACCTGGGGGCAGGCACAATAGAGGGAGACCGTTCATCAGCCCGTTCCCCAAATGCTTGCCACGCCAGGCCAGGGCCAGGACCCTAGAATGCCCTCCAGGTCTCCCATGTGGGGTGCAGGGACCCAAGCCCTGGAGCACAGCCTGCTGCCTCCCACAGGGGCGGGATCAAAGGAGGGCAGCTAGGACCAGAAGCAGAGGCTCTGGTAGGGGACCCGGGCATGGCAGGCAGCCTGCTGCGCCCAGCGCTGGGCCCTCTTGCATGCATCTCACTTCCTGGGCCTTTTTACTAAAGCACATGTACCACTAGAAGGAGCGTGGAGGTGACACTGGGTCGGCCGACTGGCCACACCTCGTCCACGGAGGGAAGCAGCTTGGCCTGCGAAACCACCTCTTGAGGCAGCCTGTCGCTCAGGGCCCTTCCTGCAGAGACCGGGAAGCCGACACTTGTGCAAAGGCAGGGAGGTTACACTGAGATGCAGCCCAAGGCCTGAGCCTGCAACCCTGGGAGGAGATGGCACTGTCCATGTATGTGCATGTGTGAGCACACGTGTGTGTGTGTGTGTGTGTGCACGGGCACGCTGCTGCTTAGGCTAAGTGAAGCCAGCAGTGCCTGTGGCTGCAGCACACAGGGCCCTCTGTCCACTGTGGCTGTGGCCTGGCCTGCAGCTGAGCGGCTGCAGCACGCACGCAGGGCCCTCTGTCCACTGTGGCTGTGGCCTGGTCTGCAGACTGAGCGGCCAGGCAGCTGCTAAGACCCTCGTCTGAAGGTCCTTGGCTCCTTTTCAGCGCTGGTGGGCTTGTCCTTCCAGCCACTGGGGGAGTATGTGGATTTAATACCATTTCTTCTCTTCTGTTTAAATGCTGTAAGAATTTAAATCTTATTTAAATTTCACCAACATTTGTGGTAAAGTTTATGTTCAGATGTTTTTCACTTTCCTTTTTTTTTTTCTTAAGAGCTAAAGCTAAGGCTATTAAAAATTTGGTTTATTTTTCTTCCTGCAAACTTGGCAGAAGCAGGCATCCTATCGGAACGCCTGCCCCATGGTCTCACCCAAGGCGGAGCCAGTGTGCCCGTGTGCCAGCGGGCTCCCTGCTGGACTGGCGGGGATGCTGACAGCTTGACCGGAGGCCATGGTACGGCTGGGCCACCAGCAACAGTGCACCGACAACAGGTCCTGTGCTGAAGGGAGTTACCTCTGTAGGTACCGTCAGCCCTGTTTTCAGATAAGAAAACTGAGGCTCCATTCTCCGCAGCCACTAGGGGCCTGCTGACTGGGGCGAACCCAGCTGTCCTCAGGGTCATGCCCCACGTGGCTGGGCCATGGGTCACCTCACTCTGTGCCACCGTCTCGCCAGAACCCTGAGGAAGCAGCCACTCCAGGCAGCTCCTCTTGGAGCCAGCCCTGCTGCCGCTGACCGGGGCCCCGGCCTCAGCCTGCGTCTTCCCGGGCTCCCACCTTGACCAGGAGACATCCATCGCGTCCTCCCCACACCGCCTGTGACAGGTGCACAGAAGCTGTGCAGACGCTGCCCAGGCCACCTGGGGCAGCGGCCAGTGAGCCCTGACTAAGAACCACTACTACGCGCACACTTGAGCTCCACAGCCATCAGGAGACACACGCCCAACGCCTGGCTTCGTGGCAACTTCCCACACTGCTCCTTCCAGGCGTGCTGCAGAAGTGGCCTGTGGCCAGCAGTGCGCCCGCATGGTGGTCCGGGCGGGGTTGGGGGCACCACCTCCCCTGCCGCCGGCTTCCTTGGCTCCTCCCCGGCGCCGGGGCTGGGTGTCCTCACAGCTCATTCTCCTCAGGTCAGAATGAGCAGGCGCAGGGGAGGGACGCCTGTGGCAGACTGCACTTCCACATCAGCAGAGTGAGCCTCGTGAGTGAGCCTCCAGAGTGAGCTGGGAGCGAGTCTTGTCTCTGCAGAGCGGCCCGCTCCTCTCCCTGCTCCACACGCGTGTGCACACACATGCACGGGCACGCACATTTTTTGTCTGATATCAGCTGCTGAATTTTGTTCTTCCTTGACTGTAACTTTCCCTAAATTACTTCTTTATTCAGACTGACAGAGAGGGAGAGAGGACACTCCCACCCACCAATTCACTCTGCAAATATCTGCCGCTTCCAGGGCTGGGCCAGGCCGAAGCCAGGAGCCTGGGGCTCGGCAGGCTCTCCCACGCGATGACAGGAGGCCTTCTAGAACCTGTGCTGACGCCTACCAGCTGCCTGCCGGAGTCTGTTCGTGGTGAGGGAGAGTCCTCTCTCGGCACCAAAGCGTCAGCATCTGCTGTGTGCGTGCACCATCTCCACGGGGGCTAGAAGCGCCTGGCGTACAACAAAGGATTGTTGATGCGACTGGATCAAAGCAGGAATCACTGAGCCACAACTCTGAGTGGCAAGGAAGCAGAACACAAGCCCTAAGCCATCGTCGGCCAGTCCTGCCGGGCGGAACTCTCCGTCGGTGGGGCAGCATTGTGATACAGCAGCTGCAGCTCCCACCTGTGGCACTGGCATCCCACGTGGGTGTCTGTTCCAGGCTGCTCCCTGCTAATGGTCTGGGAAAGCAGCAGAAGATGGCCCCAGTGCTGGGGTCCCTGAACTCGCGTGGGAGAGCAGGAAGGAGTTCAGCAGGCCCAGTCCTGGCCGTTGAGACCATCGAGTGAGTGAGCCAGTGGGCAAGAGCTTTGCTGTATCTGCTTCCCTCTCTGTAACTCCTTCAACTAAATAAATAAATCTTTAAAAGAATTCTCTGTTGACAACACTAAAATGGGATTTGGAGTTAATGAGAGCTACCTCCTCACAGCTTTATTAGGATTAATGCAATGCTGTGAGGGGATTGCAACGGGAGGACACACGTGGCTTCAGTAGGCCCCCGCCAGGCAGCAGCTCCCGGGGGCAGCCTGAGCCGCCAGGGCCAGTGTCCACACCTGCCTTGTGGAGAGCTCAGTGGCATCTGCCAACTGGGAGAAACCTCCCGTAGAGTTGTAAACCCCCCACATTCCTCGAGTTCCGCTGAGACCCCCAGCGCGCTCCGCAGGGACGTCCCTTTGGCTCTGCCAGAGCTCAGTGGCCATGCACCATCCACCTCTCCACCCCCAGGGCAACTGGACAACACAGTGGGGAGGCCATGGGGGGTGACTTCATGCTCGGGAGGCCTCTGCCTGGCAGCCACCTGCTCAGTTCAGTCAAGCTGTCTTATCGAGCCTGTCCGTCTGGGTGCTGCTGCTGAGAGCCGAAGGAAGCAGGTGCGATGAGCTTGCCTGATTCAGGCCCCGGGGACCAAGCGAGGTCCTGGCCGTTCAGGCCGGGTTCTGAGCTGCTGGAGTCTGCTGCGGCCAGGAGAAGGACATGCATGCATTTTCTGTTTTATTTTAAAAACTTATTTCTCCTCATACAGCACAGTCATTGCTGTAGCATTTATTTATTATTTTTTTTCAACTTTTGAGTTAAAATTATTCCAAGACAAAAAACTAAGCAATAAAATTAGGAATGTGATCATAAGTGTTGAGCAGCCGTGGGAGGCAGTGCACGGTCCCCAGAGACTGGGCCGAGCCCCGGGCGGGCGAGACTGGGCACGGTCCCCGGAGACTGGGCCGAGCCCTGGGCTGCCATGCACCTTCGCTCGCGGGGCAGGAGAATCAAGACTGCAGCTGAAGGTTGGCAGGCAGACAGGCAACCTTGGCGCAGGGAGTGAACTAGTTAGCACTTTGCACGTAGCACAAGCTACTTGGGAAGCAGGTAGGCGTATTCTAGCTCGTGCTTGGAGGGGCAGTGGGCAGAGCAGCCCAGAGAAGATGGCCTCACAACGAGGCTCACTCTGCTGTGGGGACTCCCTGCAGGTGGCTTGGGTGTGGGGGTGTCTGCATCACTCGGCGGTGGGGGACTCCCTGTGAGTTGCATTAGTGTGAGGGCTGCTCTGCGTCCCTGGGCCGTGGGGGTTGCTGTGTGTTGCTCAGCTGTGGGGGCTCCCTGTGGTCACTCGGCCTTGAGGCTCCCTGTGCGTTGCTAGCTGTGGGGGCTCCCTGTGGTCACTCGGCCTTGGGGCTCCCTGTGTATTGCTCAGCTGTGGGGGCTCCCTGTGGTCGCTCGGCCTTGGGGCTCCCTGTGTGTTGCTCAGCTGTGGGGGCTCCCTGTGGTCGCTCGGCCTTGGGGGCTGCCGAGCAGCTGCCGTGAGCCACCCACAGGTTCCGTTAGCACAGTGCTGTCACTGCTGCCCCAGGACTACGTCAAGGACAGGAAGTCCAGGTGGAGCCTTCAACGTGGGTTTTAGGAACTGGGGGGCAGGGACGGGGCTTGCAGGGAAGGGGCAGGCGTCCAGGCTCCTGGAAGCCACAGGGTCTGGCCTGGCCTACCCGACCGTGGTCCTGCACGGCCCAGCAGCCGTGACTGCGTGTGGCAGCCCCTACGTCTAGCGGTTCTGGTGCGCTGTGTCCTCCGTGGGATGGCAGCACATGCTGACTGTCCTCCAGCAATCGCTGCGTCACTCCTGTGCTCAATGCAGCCCTCATGTCTGAGCATACTGTGTGTGCTCACACACACCAGACAGGGCAGATGCTGTGGGGGAGCGAGGAGTGAAGTGGGTGCCACAGAAGGAGAAGCAAAAGGTTTAAAGTGCATTCAGAGCTTGCTGGGAACGTCCGAGGGGACCTCACCACCATCAGGACCTGTGTCCTAGCAGGCTGCGTAACTGCAGGTTCCTGGGGTGGGGGCAGGGGGAGGGCGGGGGGGGGGGGGGGGGGATGGTGGCCTTGCTTGTTGCTGTGCTGGCTACAGGCTGTTTATAACAGGTGCTCACACAGGTGTCTGTTACATAATCAAGTGACACCTTCACAAAGCCCCCATCCTCTGTACATGCTACGGGTGAGACACACCCCCAAAGTCCCCCATGCCCTCATGCCCCCATGCCCACCAAGGCCTGCACTCATTAGGGGACACCGATAGGTGGTCAGGCTGCCCTGCCTGCAGGTGCAGGTGCTAACGGGGCAGGGCCGGGAGGTGGT